TCCTAACGGCAAACCTTCTTTTGCCTGCAGTGAGGTGATGGTAGATCTCGTTACTATTATAGCCAGCAGAATCATGCCGGTCTAAAATAGGCCCATCTATGCATTAGTACCGTCTAGTATAATGATTCTAGCGGAAGCACTAAAAGACAGCGGCTTACGTACCTGCATGCCCATAATTCGCCTGGAACCCTTACTGACGGCAATTGATAGGGTTTTAGAATGGGGCGTTATAGATTCCTCGAATATTAGATAGAAGAGTCCGGTAAGGACCATGAGAGTACCGCCTATCGTTCTGTACGACAAGTAAGAATCTGCACTCCGCTTTTTGATCGGAATAGGGATGGCTACTTACATGGTAGTTACATCTTCCACCTTATTAGCGGGTAGGAGCGTGAAGGTGCTCATTAAAGCACATCCGATACTCCACGTAGCTACGACGAGTTTATTGCGCGACAGGAAGCCAATGCCGTAGGATATAGGCCATATCGCCGCAAGCATGAAGCAAATTGTGTAAATTTCGCGATAAAAATATGATTGAACCTGTCTTATGTGTGAGTTATTTTCACGTTGTAGATTTGGCGTCGCTTTAAAGGGGCAAGATTGGATATTACTCACAAGTGCCTCCAAAATCCCAACATATACCAATATTTGTAAACCAAAAGATATGTAGTCACTCAGTGACTGAACATGGCTGAGAAGAATCTTTCGTCCGGCCGCTAACGCATTCCGCTTCGCCACGACTTCTTCCCAGAAGAAGATGGGGAAAATGCCATATGCGTAGTATCTCCACGACGACTTTTGAATCCAAAAGATAGAATACAATATGACGAGTATGGACGAAAAGAACATTGTACTGAATGTCGTACGGCTTGGGACGGAAGATCCATGCAGTACATGGAGATCGAGCACTGTGGTCAGGGCATATGCAATCCATCCGAGATAGCCTGCAGTGACTATAGTTCTGAGGAATAGCCAGTCATAGGTCTGCAGATATCGCAGGCCTTCTAGAGCGGTATGCAAAAGATTTGAAGATTCCTTAATCGCCTCGTCATATTTCTTCCTCGAAATTAACTTTTGAATTTCGGAGATGCGTTTCTCGATCGAGTGATCATCATCCCCGAAAGCCCGATATGGTTGGTACCGCAAAGTTGATGCTCGTTTGTTTTCCTCTTTGACCCGATACATTTCCAGAACCCCTTGCGTATTCGCCAGAGCGGCCAGGGCCTTTTCCTTGGGAGACGCATCAAGGTAGGAAAGGGGAAGCTCCCCAACCGAATTCACTGGGAAATCCAGCCCAACCAGGTATGCCATGAGAGCAGCCACATCGGCCTGGGCAACATCGTGTCTGTGAACGTTGTCCAAGTTCCAGTCCGACGAGAACCCATCCTCATGGCCTGGTGCTTTCTTCCTTTTCTGAATTTTCGGTTTAGCGACGCCGGAACCCCAGGCCACCAAGGGAGTGCGGGTGTTGTCTGGATGCCCATCACCATGGCTCCCCCAATCACTCATGCCATGATCAGCCGTAAAAATGAAGGCGGATTCATTGTCGCCGTAAAATTCCTCAACCAATCCCGTAATCTCCTTCACCCCTTGGTCGACAACCTTGATATTATGCAGATACTCCTTTGAATAAGGCCGATAAAAGTGGCCAGCCGTATCTAAACCGAGCAAATGCAAAAAGAAAACGAGCTTATCCTCCCTCAAGCGCGCATCGAGCTCTGGATCCTCCTTTGCCGCCGCAAATAACGCCTTCACCTTCTCAAACACCCATATATCCAACTGCGACCCGTCCTTGCTAAAATTCTCAGCTTCATCGTCATATGATTCCGCATCGATCTTCCCAGGCGTCGCACCCTCCTTGAACATCGGTAGGATATCCGGACTCCCCCAGCTCCAGGTATGTCTGCTGCGATTGAAAACGCTGTCGAAATTGACCGGATTGAGCTTCCACCCCGTTGTCACCGACGACACATCCTCATACAACCCAGCAATAAGGGCGACATGTCCCGGCCTAGATTCGGTAGGTACCCGCGTATGCGACACGCCAAAGGTGCCATGGTGAAGGACGCGGGAGCGAATGAACGGTGCAAGCGGCCGAGGCGGGTTACTATCTGACGGCACAGAGCTATAATCTGGATCCAGAACGCCTCCCGGCGACGGGTCCGGAAAGGATTGGAACGCCTTGTCGGCGCGCAGACCGTCGCCGACGAAGAGGAAGAGTCGCTTTGCGGGGGCTTTTGCGGAGGGAGCTCGTTGGACGCCGAATTCGCGCATGCCGCTGACGATGGGGCTGACGAAGTAGATATCGAATATCGAGTAGGTGTATATCGTGTGGAAGATAATTGCCAGGGCTAGAAAGCCGACCCGCCTGGGCAAAGCCATGGTGGGTGGGAGTATTCTTGTGACCTAGGAGACAGTTGCGTTGTAGGCGAAGGTTTTATACAAAACCGATCTTGTTAGCTACCATACGTGGAAAAGGAGCGAAAACGGTCCAGAAGACCTTGTGAGATGTAAAAAGGTTGGGGATAAGATATAGTTCCAGAGAGCTATCGAGTCATTGTCGCAGTTCGTTGTATAGAAGCGCATGTGCTGCAATGCAGCATAGAAGCGGTTGATGGCCCAATGCTCTCCTTATTCTTCCTTGGAGTTTTACTAATATATTACTAATCTTAGCGGCTTCAACCACGTTCAATGCTACGAGAAGAGCATTTACATGACACGAATGCTTCCATAGAACTCTTATAATGAGAGTAGTTAGAGATTCAAAAGTATTGTGTATCTAGACAATGTTCAAACAGAGACAACTTAGTCAAAATATCAACGGGTACACGCCGCTAGTAACAACAAAATGACAACCGAGAAACACGCGCGCTCTCGCTCAACATCTTGGTTAAAAGTACAAAGGTCTTATGCTCCTTAAAAATGTTAATGATTTGAGCGGATTTGCTCAAATGTGTATGTAAATGTCCTGCATGATCTTGGAAAAATAAATAAATAAAATAAAAGATAAAGATAAAATAAAAAGGGATGATAATAGATGTCACAGCTCCAAATCCTAATCATCTGTCCGTCTCGATTTCTTCGTAAGCGTATCCACCACCCGACTATAAAACACCGAGGCATGTTGCCGTGGGAAGGTTATATCTATAGATAGGTACTCGGGGAGAATATCAACCAAATCACGATCGCGGTTGGGGTCCAGAAGGGGGAAATAGTGGAACTCTGCGGCTTCAAAGCTCGTGTTTTCCAAATCGTGCGCAACTGCGAGTTTGAAGTGTAGTGCTAGTAAGATGGGAATTGAATGGTTAGCCTATTTAATTCTTTCCGCTGTGTTGCAAAAAGAAGTGGCTAAATAGCAGTGATACGAGAAAAGACAACTTACTTCCATTCATCCCTGTCTGTATACAGTCATACAAGTGATCAGACTCTCGTTTCCTAGCGTCACGAATAATAAGGCCTGTGAGATCACTGTATAGGTCTTCCTTTAGCTGGGCTATCTGAGCAGCATGGGCAGCTTCCGCACTGCCCATGATCGATCGTGAAACGCCGCCGCTGTTAACTTTGGCAGCGCTTCCAGGGCCTTTGGAACCTGTAACACATTCCAGATTTGTTGCTGCGGTTCGTGAGGCGGCCAACTTCATCTGGAGGGCCTTTATCTCGTTTTGGGCATCGGTCAAGCCAGAGTTCAAGTGTTTGATTTTGGCCTCCAGCTCGGCAACCTCGTCATCCCGGTCCTGCAGCTGTTTTTGAAGGGTGCGTGATTCTTTGGCTAGGGTGGTTTGCGTGGCGAGTTCTTTCTTTAGCGAGGCAATTAACTCATTGGATGCTGCCGGGTTTGGGAGTTAGTTTTGGTTCAGCTATGTAAAGTAGAATGGGGCTATTGCAATTGCATACCTGCAGTATTCGCCTCGCATTGCTTCCGTAGCTTCTCCACGTTGGAATTGGCTTCGAGAATCCCCACCTCACGCAGATTTCGATACTTCATATCCATATTCTCGTATTTTTTCGCCATATCTCCTAGCTTCCTCCGTAAAGTCGCTTCACTGTCGCCCTTCTCAAGATCCGATACGGCTCCCGTAGCTTTACGCCGTTGGTTGGCTGTCTGGGGTGTTTTATATTGTAAGTGGCCGTTGGCGGGACCTTTGATGGGAGAACGGGATATAGATCGTGCAGGTAGGTAATGGGTTTCCGGTAAAGCAGGCTCCTCCGCTTGCTCCGCTTCCTCCGTTTCCTCCCCTTCCTCCTCTTCCTCCTCTTCCTCCTCTTCCTCCACTTCCTCCTGCTGCTGCTCTTCAATCTCTGGTTCAACCTCAGGCTTCTTGCGTCGCGTCACAGGTTTGATTGCAGGTTTCTCTTCCGTGGGTTGTTTACTTGGTTTGGGATGACGCGATCCCATCGGGGTATACTCAAATCCGTCATCTATAGTCACGCGTTTGCCAGGCGCTTTCTTTTGTTGAGCTCCAGTTTTCGTCCGACCACCCGCTCGAGTGCCACCATGCGCTGTTGTTTCTGGAGAGTTAAGCTCATCATGCGATGGCTGCTCTGGCTCTGGCTGTGGCTCGTCGTCCAAATACTTCTCCTGGTCGCTTTCTTTGGAAAAGCTAGTATCCACAGTCTCGTGGGCCTCTTCGGTGTCTCCAAGTGATTTGCGACCTCTGCGGGTCGTCGTACCTCTAGCAGGACGACCTCGTTTTGGTCCTACGATAACAGTCGAGCGAGCTTTGCGGGTACTAGGTTTCGCCGCAGTTGTGGCTTTGGCTGCAGCGCTTCTCGGTCTTCCAGGTCTTGCCCTTTTTGTAGGGGGCGGAGCGGTATCCGTGGCTTCATCGTGGGTGTGTTCTCCGCCGCCATTCATCAAAAGGTCGTCCTCCAAGTCATCATCTACTAATCCGGACAATTTCGACGCGGCTTTCCGCTTTGGCATAGTTCAAACCGAAGAAATAGTTTCTATTACTTTGCGTAGAGTCCGGTAGTGGTAATCCGAGAATCCCAACTGCAGTTGGCTGTGTTAAATAAGCCTGGCCAAAGCGCGTGGGAGACGTTGGCGGCGATAGTTAACTGAGAACATGTGATCGCGGCTCGGCTGGTGCATTTTTCCTTTTTCTTGGACTACAGAGTTGAACTCGGCTTCAAAAGCACCACCACCCGCCCTTTCATTTGAATTTTATTTAACGTGCTTTAAGACAAGACACAAGAAGACGCCTTTTTTTAACTTCCTTCCATAGACCTAGATCACCCTTCTTTTGTTTAAAGCCTCACCCCCTTGGATTCCGCTATACTTAGCTTGCGACGAACGCCAATCCCACTACATATAACCCGCCATGGCCTCGGGCGGCGGCCGCAAATGGCAGCAATTATTACAGGAGCTAGTAATGATTGCTGGCACGGTAAGGGACATTGAAATAATAGCAAAAAGTATCCTGGTCTGCGAAATTCCGTTGCTAACATGTGCATATCTCGCAGTCGCTTTCCACATATTTTGTCGTCAGATTCCTGCTTTCCAAAGTCGAATTCGATCCCGATAGCCAAAAACATGAGGAAGCAAAGCGAAAGTCTGCGGCTATATTACGAAGACTCGATGGCCCCGAGGATTCGGACGACGAGTCCCCCAGCCGAAAGAAAGGCTCACGGCGACAAAAGAAGCAAAGGAGGGAGGACCTCGTACTGTCGCAATACGAACAGACCATCGCGATGGACGTCGTAGCGCCAGAAGACATCCCAGTATCCTTTAACGACATCGGTGGACTGGAAGATATTATTGAAGAATTGAAGGAGTCGGTCATATATCCGCTAACCATGCCACATCTATACTCATCCACGTCATCGCTCCTCAGCGCGCCGTCAGGAGTGCTTCTCTACGGGCCGCCCGGATGCGGCAAGACGATGCTGGCAAAAGCGCTGGCCCACGAGAGTGGCGCCTGTTTTATAAATCTTCACATCTCAACCCTAACAGAGAAGTGGTACGGCGATTCGAACAAACTCGTCAACGCCGTCTTTTCTCTCGCGCGTAAACTGGAGCCGAGCATCGTATTCATCGACGAGATCGATGCAGTACTGGGGACGCGGCGGAGCGGCGAACACGAGGCCAGCGGCATGGTGAAGGCCGAGTTCATGACACACTGGGACGGGTTGACCTCTTCCAGCACCTCTGGGCAACCGCAGCGGGTTCTCATCCTTGGCGCAACGAATCGGATCCAGGATATTGACGAGGCGATTCTCAGACGCATGCCGAAAAAGTTCCCCGTCACCCTTCCGCCCACTGCGCAGCGTTTCCGGATATTAGGGCTTATACTTCAGGACATAAAGGTCGACCGGGAGAATTTTGATCTGGACTTCCTGGTCAAGGCTATGGCGGGGATGTCAGGTAGTGATATCAAGGAGGCTTGTCGGGACGCTGCAATGGTGCCTATCCGGGAGCTAATACGATCGAAGCGGGATTCGGGCATTACGATGGAAACCGTGGATCCGGATGAAGTGCGCGGTCTGCGAACGGAAGATTTTTTCAAACGAGCCGGTGGCGTGAGGGCTACCGGTGATGTGGGTAATAATGGTGCTATTGTCAAGCGCAAATCTGTGCTAGCAAAGGCCATAAACAGCAAGCCATTGTCTGAAAAGGATTGGATTACTGATTCTGAAGGCGGTGGTGACGATCGGGTTGTTGAGCCGGAGTTCATCCCTATTGATGAATGATCGACTGAGTTTCCCTGTCATGGCGCAAACTTATTGCCTCTTGTTATATTCATACACGTATATATATATTCCTTAACAATTCTTTTTAATTATATCATTACACTCCTATCCCTTGTTCGCGTGTGTATAGTATGCTATCTTTTCAAGCGTGTCAGATGGTGGGAAGATTTGGGGCTTCCCTTGACAAATATGTTGACTGTTAACTACTCCGTACATAGAAATGTGACGGCGTTCTGGGCAAGGGTTTACTTATTTCCTATTTCCCAAGTTATTTGAACTCCAAAAACATACTGACCTAGGATTGGAATTGAACTGTTTATCTCTACTTTTGTTTTCTTCCCACTAAATATCTAATCCGTAGCTAAATATATAAATATATAAATATATATATACATAGGAGTATACAGGATATATATATAGGAGTATATATAGGAGTATATATACTTATTATTATATATATATTTATATAGCAGCGCAAGAAGCGAGCTAAAAAATGACGCCATCCCATCCCTCACCGCCCCCGGATCTGCCCGATCCCAACCGCCGCATAACCAACCACGACCAATTAATTCATCGTCATCGCCAGTGTACACTGTACACTGTACACTGCAGACAGTCTTCATTAATTCTTTGAGAAATACTTACTAGATGCTTTTCATATGAACACCAAATATAACATAGTTGAATAGGTGCTGGCATTGATAGCTCCATTGTTTCCGTCTCCCTCTCATCCCATCCCATCCCATCCTCCCAACGCCCTCATCCCTTCCCCTGTCTGCCTGTAAACCAGCTCTCAGCAATGGCCGGTGCTGAGAATCCACACTCTGCTGGCGAAAGCTCGTCGGACAAGTCGAAGATCCTCCCGAGAAAGACGGTGTCCGGTATCGATATCGAAGGCCACAATCTGCCTCCCTCTCCCGCCCCCTCCAGTCCTTATAACGGCCGGAGATATGCACTAGCTACGGAGCTAGTATTTACAGAGGGCAATGACCAGTTCAATGCGAGCAGTGTGCCTATCTACCAGGTGAGAGAGAGGCAGCGAGATGCAATAGATGCAATAGATGCAGTTGGTTGTAACGACCAATGGTCCTATTGCCCCTGCATATTCAGTTTCATTTTACCATTAGAGAAATAAGACTTAAATATGTATAATTTTAGAGTGCGACCTTCAAACAAACCTCCGGAGCTGGCGGCGGAGAATATGACTACACACGATCCGGCAACCCCACACGAACACATCTAGAGCGCCATCTAGCGAAAATTATGTCCGCCCAACGAGCCCTGGTGGTATCTTCTGGCATGGCTGCCTTGGACGTGATTACCCGCCTCCTTAAGCCAGGCGATGAAGTCGTTACCGGCGACGATTTATACGGCGGCACACATCGTCTTCTGAAATATCTAGCTGTCCATGGTGGTATCATTGTTCACCACGTCGACACTACCCGGCCAGAGAAGGTGGCCGAAGTCTTGGGAGCCAAAACGAGGCTGATTCTGCTAGAGACTCCCACAAACCCGTTAATAAAGATAGTTGACATCCCGCGGATCTCAGCACTGGCGCACGAGGCAAACCCTGATGCCTTGGTCTCGGTCGACAACACCATGCTCTCCCCGCTACTACTCAACCCGCTCGACCTAGGCGCCGATATAGTCTACGAAAGCGGAACCAAATACCTATCCGGCCACCATGACTTGATGGCCGGCGTGGTCGCAGTCAATGACCTGTCGTTGGGCGAAAAACTATACTTCACTGTCAACAGCTCTGGCTGCGGCCTGTCCCCCTTCGACTCCTGGCTGCTCCTGCGCGGCGTCAAAACGCTAAAAGTCCGCATGGAGCAACAGCAATCCAATGCAGAGCGCATTGCCGAGTTTCTCGAAAGCCATGGCTTCCGCGTCAGATACCCTGGCCTCAAATCGCACCCGCAATACGACCTCCATCGCTCCATGGCACGAGGCCCTGGTGCAGTGCTCTCGTTTGAAACGGGGGATGTGAACATCAGCGAGCGGATTGTCGAGAATGCGAAACTGTGGGCTATCAGCGTCAGCTTTGGTTGCGTTAACAGCTTGATTAGCATGCCATGCCGGATGAGCCATGCTAGCATCGATGCGAAGACGAGGAAGGAGAGGGACATGCCTGAAGATTTGATTCGACTGTGTGTCGGCATTGAGGATGTGGATGATCTAATTGATGATTTGAGAAGAGCGGTATGTCTCTCTCTCTCTTTTTATTTTTATTTTTATTTTTATTTTTTATTTATTTTTTTTTGTTGTTCTACCTATTATTTCCATTCAAATTTCTGGTTTTTATCTCCCCTGAAGCCCGAGTGTATCGATTTTACTAACTACGGCCAATTCAATTGGTATAGCTCGTCCAAGCCGGCGCTGTCACTGTATCGCTAGACGACTTCCAAGCGGTCAATCCGGTATCATCTCAAACATGAATGAGCCCTCGCACATAGCATGAAAAGGCGCGGCATGATAGCCCCAGCATTGCCATTGTAGACTTTCCCGTCCTCCCACCTTCCCCCTTCGGAGTTTCTTCTTTTAATGATTTTACCATTTCACGCTTCACCACCCACAACGACTGTACATATATCTACACAACTACAAGATGATCCGGCGATATTTTTGGGAGAAATATGGGTAAATAAAAAATGATAGTTACATATAAAAAAGAGTTGTGTTATGTCTATCAATATATGAATATTATTTAACTTGGTCGTTTATCGTCTTTTATATCAAGGTCATGCTTGCCCAACTTACGACATATACGCTCGAGTGAGTCAGGAATCAGGATTGATTCCTCTCTTACAGGCTGGTGCTACCCCTCTCCGCCTCAAGCCCTGGCTAATGACGTCACTAAGGTTATCCAATCCCGAAGACGATAGGAATGGTTTTCGCGCCTGTGATGATGTCGGTTGGAGCCTGTTAAAGCTGGCACGTAGTTCCTTAATCCACAGGTGATTTGTCTGATGATTGAAGTAACTTCTGTTGGTGGAGAGAGTAGAGCAGCTATTGCGATAGGTGACACTGAGGCAAAACTTAAACTCAGCATACCTCTGTAACACACTGTAACTCCGAAGAAGAACCTTGCAACAACGAGGCCTTAGTAGTTTTCAACAATGCCCATGATACCAACGATTGAGCCCTAAGTTTGATGGGTTCTCGTCATATTTATTAGCTTCTATCTCTCTTGAGATTCACGACATCACTACTCCCCAGGAGAACAGCATCACAGATATCCATACCCATGGGTGTAAAATCATGAGCAGGATATTACTTGGGACCTCACAACGAGAATGGAACAAAGAAAATCGTTAGGGCAACATTGTATTGCATACCATGAAGTTGAAGATCTTTGTTCATGCCCGCGATTTTCGCATTCCCCAACAGTGCTTTTGTGTCAGGATCTGGAAACTCTGCTGGTCTCCCCGCACCCCTGGCCATTGATTTTAAGCAAAAATGAACCAGTAGCGGCGTATCGAGGTTCCACACAGTGCATCCTCGGTCAACGGATGTTAGTAGATATAGCACTCCCTTTCTCACATTTGACGGCTGCGGATAATAACTATCTCTGACCGTGTCATCATCAATTATTCCATAACAAGCAAGTTGGCGAGAAAAAAGGCAAAGCATCCTAGTCGTTAGCTGGGGAAGAACAGGAAAGCCCCAGGTCATATGGGATTTTCCCATCTATAGAAGCCAACACAAGGCTATGTAAAGAGAATGCATGGAATCCTATGCATTAGTTATCTAGTTGGTCATCTTCACTGGTGTAAGAAACGCCAACGAAGGAGCCGGCTAGTTATCTCAAAACATGAAATAATAAGGCTACCCCACGTGTATTTCCTTTTTTTCCTTTTTTTTTTTTTTTCTATCGGCCGGATATCATTATTCAACGGGTTTGTAAAGCCACAAAGAAGCTTCGCGGGAATCGCGGTAGGGGGATTCGCGGCAAAACCAGGTAAGATACGGATACTTTGGCGGGGAAGCTCTCTTTTCTGGTATGACCTATAGTTAGAATATGTCGAAGAGAAGGGAACATTGGCAGTCGATTTCAGGTCGGAAATATCTGCTAGGCCGCGGGTTGTCACGCTCTGTCCATGAAAGAAAAGAGCCGATGGGCTCGAATAGTACGAATTCGGACGCCTCCAATTCACATACTACCGTCCCATTATCTGGCAATTCCTAGTCTCTAAGTTTAAGTTAGGGCGTGTAAGAATCTGCTGGATTTAAAAAAAAAAATAAAAAAATAATGAGCTTCTCCACAAGCTGGCAAATTGCCATATATATCTCACGACTGTCTCACTCAAGCAGTTGAAATATCCAAGAATTGCCGTAGTTAATTAACTTAATCCAGTCGGCGATGGCAATGCCAAGGGAATGATGTCATGTGACTTTACCGTCCGTGGTAGTTCTCGGTCCGAAATCGGGACTTGGCGCGGCTGAGAACGTTAGAATTTCTCTCATCCTTTGCCACCACAAATTTACAATCAACATGACAGCGCCAAGAAGAGTATGCTGCATATTCTTCCTGAGTCCTTGAGCAGTTGTTGTGTTTATTTCGCCTTCCTGCATTCTTTAATTACTTGTCATGTCCCTTTGATGATTGTCGCCGACACTCTCTTTTCTTGTTTTGAGGGTTTTTATTTATAGACACACTTCTCTCCCTTTGAGTACATTGTTACTGCCCATGCTGTCACTAGTCCATTCCAGCGAGACGAGTTAGATTTCTTCAATCTCTACTATAAATACTAGTAGTTTACTGTTTGAATTTCATCTTCCCTGTCCATAAGTATTGTTCTATGCCATACTGGCGAAAATGAGTCGCGGGGAGCCTGCATCGCAGTTGGACTCGGCCACTGTGTCACCTCCCACATCTCGATCGCCCATCACTAGGGTCTCCCTTTCAACATCAAAATGGAATACAGATAGTTTAGGATCAAGGTTGGCCGTAGATGCAGCCAGCGCCACTGGAGCGGCGTCATTGATATGTCCGCTTATCACCATTATTGACAAGTGAGTTGATTAGCCTATTATGTTTTTTTCACCCTCAAGTGGAGATTGGATGTAGCCGTAATTAATCTGCAGACCAACTAACTTCTCTCAATTGAAACTTAACAGAGCTATTATTGAGAAAGCTGCAAAAGGTCTTCCTATCCTCCAAAGCCTTAAATCGTCGTTGGCCACGATCGTCAAACGACCCCATAGTTTTTTCATCTCAACGCCGTTCCTCCTTATATACACCCTTTACGGATCTACATACTTAACAGCCAACGTTATTGACACTGTAACATCGACAATGGATGGTCGGGCATTCAGTGATGTCTCAGCTGGCCCTGCTAAATTCATTGCCACAGCTGTTGTCAATATGTCAATATGCGTTTACAAAGACGCACGATTTGCCCGTTTATTTGGTGCGCAAGACACCCCCTTAGAGCCAAAAACGTCACAAAGGTCGAAGGGAACGCAAAATCCAAAGCAAAAGACTACCCAAACACTTCCCCCAACTTCCAAAGCGCCTCAATCTCTACCAATCCCTAAACGCTCATTTGCTCTTTTCTGCCTGCGCGACAGCATGACCATATTCGCCTCTTTCAACCTCCCCACGCTCCTCTCGCCTCACATCCCCGATATCCTCGCCTCCACCCCATCCTCCAAAACTACTCTAGCCCAATTCTCCATCCCGGCGGCCGTCCAACTTTTCAGTACGCCGTTCCATTTGCTAGGTTTGGATCTTTACAATCGCCAACCACCCGGCGGGCTACCTGCGACAGATAGATGGGCCCGCGTAAAAAGAGATTGGGCACCAACCGTCATGGCTCGAATCGGACGAATTGTCCCCGCTTATGGATTTGGAGGCGTGGCTAATACCAAATTCAGAGCAACGTTGATGAAATCATTAGAGGAGAAAGGAGGTACGATATAGAGCTAGAATGATTGCGTCCAAATCGGTCTTAGGGTTAAGACCATCCGAGGGGCTATATATGATATACATATATAATATGCAGTAAAACGACCTGTTAGAATAACGACAACCAAAAAAAAACACATACCAATTCGGATCCCTCACCCACGATGTCGACAGTCGCGCCCGGCCATCCTCCTACCAAGCACATTCGCACGCATCGAGCTGTAAGAGAGTAGCTTTCCGTTCCCATTCTTCTGTTTTATGAAGTGATACCCCAACAGCCTTTTCTTTATATACTATAAATCAGCTGTTTGCCTAGACTTGCTTTTGCTTTTTCTCTAGCGAACTCTTCGGGAATTTTCGTTCGCATAGCGTCTTCTTCTCATTACATGATTGCATATGTCCTGATAGATACAAACAACAAAGTATATTCAACTAAGATAGATAGGGTTTCCTAAAATTTGCGTTAGATACCTCGGCGGGGTAATTTGAGTTTGTTCCTTGGCTGTTTTTGAATTCTTCCCCCCTAGAAGGTACGAAAAAAAGTAATCAATAAATAAGATATAGGCCATCTACTTAATGACAATCCTTCACATTTTCCTTTCAATGAATCTCCAATGCCGAGTATCAAAAATAGAAGATATACAAATGAACAAAATGAAAAGTAGAAAATTGAGAAAAAGTAAACGAAATACTTGAATCTGCCCACACTCGGAATCGAACCGAGGATCTTATCATTACTAGTGATACGCTTTACCACTAAGCCACGCGGGCGTATTTGTTAGAATGGCTACTCGGCAATTGGGATCTTGTGCTATTTCAATGTCTAGCCTCACCCAAAAATGACAACGGGAAATAGATTTTCAAACATTTGAATATCGACGATAACTATACGTATGTATGTAAAGACCAAGACATCCAATTATATTCAGTTATTACGCGCGAATTAGTCCATACTCCGTCCCTCATGTACCACCTCCCTCCCTTTCCCTCCATTGTGTTGATACAATTTGGGTTGCCATCCAAGCAAAGCTGAATGAGAAAACAAAAGCGATCCCCTTAGTCTCTCAGAATTAGCTATGAAATGGAGATATGCCTTCTTTGCTCTGCTTTCACCCATTCATAACAACAGGTAATGCAGCCGGAGTGGTGGGTGCATTGGTTATGTTCCTGCTAAATGGTGTGGAGAGATCACCGCAGTGGCGACAAACGAAATGTGAAAAAATGAAACACACTTTTTGAGTCCGTATAGATTCAAATATGGAACAATGCTGGATACGCAGAGAGGAGACACCAGGTAAATCCGAGGTTCAAGCCGCAAGACAAGGTAAAAAGGGAACAGCTGGCAGGAGATGTTTACGTAGCTCATCACTAAAATTCCTAGTTTCAACCACCTCAACTCGACCTAACTCACTTCCTCACTCTTACCTTGGTCACGTTTTCTAATCCCCTCTTGCTGCTTCTTCCGCTCACGGTATTGCTCCAGATTTGAAAGAATCACAGAGGTTGTTTGGCTATTGTCTTCCGCAGGGTGCGGAACAGCCTGGCCCCCTTCGATAACGCGGAAGGCATTGTGGAATGCCCATTGCACACCATGCTCGACAGGTTTATCAAATACGTAAGGCAGGAATGGGACGACGGCGAGACCAAGCTATTTTAGTAACAGTCAGCAATCATTGTATAGCCGTGTCCACAACCCATAATTGTAGAAGGCCTACCCCAATCGGCAACCACGTGCGAATCATAGTAGTCTTTGCCCCCCTAAAAGCACGCCCAGAGTATTTCACCACAGAATGGATCGTTAACGCAGGTAATCCCACACTAGCCAGTGCCTGGAAGACCGCCCGCTCAGCCATGACAGAGCGATAATCCTCTACCAGTGGAATCTTCGTCGTCTGCCACGGCATCAGGGTATCCTCCTCTGGATCCGGCCACGGCAGCGGATGCGTCTTGGATGCTGTCGAGTTTAGCGTTTCCTCCTGCTGGAGCTTGCGCCCGGCCATGGCAGCAACCTCCATATCCTCAGACACCTGTCCAGTCGCATTGCGATATGCGTCACATGCCGGGGCCAGCACTCGTCTGTTGCGCAGATAGGCTTTGTACCCTTCATTGGCAACATCGCCTAATATATAGGTCCAGGAGATACCGTATGCGCTGCGGACGAGCCAGGGGTGCGCGACGGGGCGGAAGGATTCGCCAATGTCGGAGGTATAAGCGACGTAGCGGTGTGCGGAGAGGAGGATAGTGCGGATGCGGTTGGTGTAGGCGGCGTATCGGTATTTGGTATCAATGGTATCCACGGAGCTAGGTCATTGTTACTTAGAGCTTTGTTTTTGGTTGAGGTTTTAGAGCGAGTGTGAGTGTTAGTTCCCATACTAGCCATCATAGAGCTGGTCCAAGAGTTCTTCTTCACGGTCAAGAAGCTTTTGCAGCTCTGGGTTCAGTTTCCGACGGCGAAGTTCAAGGTTTTGGCTATGAGATGCTTTATTTGTGGTGTCATCGTGGTTGTCATCGGTATGGGCTTTTTTTCTGATGCCCCAAGCCATGATATTGATAGACGTGTATTAGGTAGATTAGGTAGGTAAGATAGTTCCTGTATGAAGAGGGGGACTCAAGACGGTCCCTCTTCCTATGTGCCTGCGGCCTTATTAATACTAATACCTCATAGCCTGTAGTGAATGAAATAGAGGAGTGCACAAGCGGAGAAATATGAGGCTTTGAGCGGCATGCAGTGAGTATAGAGGGATCATCTCCAATGAACTATCATCTTCCCTATGATCGCGCAGCCCAAAGTAGGTAAATAGAGGCGAGCGCCGCGGGTACCTCTATCCAAGGTACCTCCAACATCCATTTCCACGCGTCATGGGTGGTGGCTGTGGTGGCTGCGGTACCTCATCTTGAAGTATCCCGCAAAAGCCGCTGAGATCACTCTAGAGATCCTGCGTTTTCATTGGTTGATCGGCGGTTTTCGGCTTACAAGCGGTCACTAACTGCAATGGGAATAGTGTCATGTCATGTGAACCGAGCCTCCCAAGTTGGAAGTTCTCAGCATTGTCAATTATTGATCAAGCGACTGAACATTGAACAAACACTCCAACTCCAGTCCCAGGACATCGACGACCGCCTCCATTGACTATCACATACCTCAATTGCAATCTCCACTTTGACGATGGTCGTTTACTACACAGTTGCTGGCCGCCAAGTCGGCTCCCATGTCGTAAGTGTTCATCTCCCTTCTCCTTCCCATTCCCGCCATCAAAGTTACCAGCGCGTTGTAGCTGCGAGTCAGCATACATAACGTGCCCAATTGATAGCACACAAGTGAAGAATACAAGCATATATGAGTTTGGAACGTTATACTGACTTATAAACTTCCCTAATAGCTTGCCATGGCGACTCTTGGAGGCACGTTCCTCGCCACCTACCTCGCCCTGCCAGCGAAGACGGACAAGAAACAAGGTCCGCCCATTAAGGCCAGCAGCAAGGATGAGGAACAATTTATTCAGTACGTGTGAATCGCTTTTCGCCTACATATATATACACCTTCTACCCCGACCACCAGGTCCTAGCTTTCGCCAACCACCACCCGCTTGCTTCCAATTTAAAAAGCATGGATGAAAGTCATAATTCTAATAAGTGAATTGTAATTTAACACAGGGATTTCCTAAAAAACGTGGAGGCTGAGGAGAAGAAAGCGAAACAATAAATCAATACCTCCCAACATATTTTACCGCCCCTCTCTGTACTTAACCACGCCTTGTACGCCATATATCTTTCGCATCTTATATTCTTAGAACTCTTCTCCTGGAATACTATCCATTTCTTTTTCCCTTTTTTTCTTTCCGCCTTGATGTGTGGAATGAGCCTGTCACATATTCAATTATAGAGAGGTGTGTGTGGTTAGAACATAGGCTTGGTGGGTGATCGATTGTGGGCAACTAGGGGAGTGGACAGCGCCGGTTCCAAAGGCTAACCCGGCACCAGAAAGAGAATGACAGCTATGAATTAAGAGGCGGAAATAATATTCTGTGACGATACGGATGGATATGATGGGTTTGGTCAAGCTGCAAGCGAACAGACTTTGAATCCTAAACCAACCTTGCGTGATATCATCTCGTGCCGTACTTGAAACTGGGCCCTCACTTTCTTATTAAAGATATATGTCTTTTTCAGTGTCTTTCGTTTGTTATGACTTTACTTCTGGTATTTTCTTTGGTCCTCAACATTTCCCAATGTCCCCCTAATTGGACACCTCCCCGGTATGAAATACTATAGGTGTACTCCGTAGTTACTCTATACATAGAAAACTATAAAAAGTGTTGCACAGCACGTTGATCTATCGCCGAAATTTTTTATCTTTTCTTCATTATAGTTAGTGCAATTGTTCATTTACATATATTATCTGCAACGCTCGAATTGTATTGATGCGCAATCCCAAGCAACTACTGTACCCCAGTTCATCATTCATAAAAAAAAATAAACAGTGATACGGAAAAGGTAGAAAGAAAACGAAGCCATCTAAATCACGGCCGTAACTCCACCTCCCCCTCAGGCTTAACCGGCCTGCCCATTTTAATCAAACCCGTCCTTTTCCCCAGATCCATCACAATACAAAACAACGTCGCGATGGAGCTATCCTCCGTGACCTCCCGACAAATACCAGTCGGGTAGCTCTGTTCATCCTTCAAAATCTCCTCAATCACGGCAACACTAGGCGGGCCCGCTGCTGATTTTTCCTTTACCAACTCCCTCACCCTCTTCAACCTGTCAAGGGTATCAACCAAATGCACTTTCCCCTCCGTGTCCAAATGCGGGCGGATGAAATGGTTGCTATGCGTGACGACACCCGCTACATCCCCTCCTCCATCCTCCTCCCTCTCTCCCATCTCCAGCCGCACGACATCCCTCGCCGAACACTCCAACCCAACCCCACCCGTCCGATCCGCAACGATGATATTACACGCAGCCGCAACGCCATATCGCTCCAATTTCTCCACGGCATCGGCGCGGGAGACACTGTCGAGAACCGCGCGCAGCGCGAGGTGGGTGGGCAGTTTGCCAAAGTCCACGCCGGCGGCTTTTATGGCGTTGAGGGTGACACCGACGCCGTGGCTGTTGAGGCCGATTTTGCCGATTATGCCGGCTTCGGTTATCATGTGAATTGTCGGGGCGGGAGTAGTTGTTCCTGTTTGGCGGATGTGGAGGGTGAGTAGGTTGGGGGATTGTTCGCGCTCCCACTGAAATAGAGTAGGTATGTTCTGATTAGAGTGGCTTATCGGGGGTTTAGGGGGCCGCCCGGATGGAGGGGAGGAATGCGGAGGGTTATACTCACATCCCAATTCTGAGCAAGGAAGCTATCATCCTTTGATTTCCAGGAGAGAGCCGTGCAGCCGTCGTTGAACATGCCATATGCGATCTCCGTGCGCACGTTCAGTGCCAGGATGGATTCCACAGGGACACCAGCTCCTTGGGCAATGCCTGCACGATTCAAACAATTTATTAGCTTCCCTAGTTACATTCTCGATCCTATGCATATGACAAAGGGAGAGGGGATTATCATATTTATACTAAAAAGAAAAAAAAAAAAAAAAAAAAAAAAAAAAAAAAAAAAAAAAAAAAGCACCTCGCATCTCCTGTATATATCCCGGAAACGACGTCTCCAAAAACGGCACGAACTTGACCGCGGCATCGCATACTTGCTGCCAATCCATCAAACATCGCCGTTTGAATAGCCCTTCATAGAATTCAAGGCTTCCAGCTACCTGTTCTCGTGCGTGCTCGCCATGTTGTAGCCCTATCTGTTACGCAACAAAACAAACCGAAGGAGTTGAGGCTTTGTCAGTCTCCGCTGGTGTTTCTTCATGGAATTTTTTTTTTTGGGAGGGGGGGGGGGGGTTTATACCTCATAAGAGTTCCCTTCGCAGGATATAGAAAGCATGGTTGCGATAGATCCAGTGGATTCGACGGCCTTATCTTGTTTTGCTTCTTTAAGGTTGTTACAGATGATGGATTTATATTATAGATCTGGTGGCGTTTAGTTAAATTTTAGCCTAGAAATATAACTTTATCACCACTTGAATTGGGAGTTGAAATCTGGCGAACAACAAAATCCACAATACATATATCAAATGCTTGTGCCAGAGCATCGTTCGTGAAATATATTATTCTACTTCGCTGGAGGCAAGAATGTTTGCTTGCTTTCCAATTCCCCGCATCGGGATCGTTATCTTATCAAAGCTCGGCCCAGACATTCCCGAATCCCGAGACCGAAATGCCGGCTCGGGAGCAGTAAGGGGGGCCAATTCCAGCAACATTGTTCTTTATACAGCAAGACACTTATAAAAGGGGGTATTTAAACCCCTACGCATGACCTTTCGTGTTTTATACAGATTATTAGCCGCATGCCCGGACTGGATATGGAAACATTCAATGGAGTTGGCGCCAACCCCGGTTTGATGCTTCGACAAGTTGATATCTGCTTTGCAGCCTCTAGCGGCTACATTGTCTCCCAAACTAGTTCATTAGAAGAATTTAGCATGTCATTCAGTTATTTTCTTCAAGTTGTGAGCCTGATAGCCATAAATATTAACCAATGTTCTGCAGCTAGAAAGTATTTTAGGGGTTGGCCTTCCGGAGCTGGAACCGTCAGAGATCGGACGTCATAGATGGTTGGGACGAGATAAATCCTCACCCCGTATATGATATCTTTTCAGCTATAAACACAATATGTAATGGTATATTTAAAAGATTGATCAGCGCCGCACTTTCATGGCGCAGGGCGCTTTTGAAAATGCCATATGTTTCGGACATAGAACCTAATAAAATGCACTAATAGGGAGAAATCGCTGCATCCACCTAACAAGATGATATTAGCTATCGCCTGCTGGTCCTTGAATTGAGATCACCGTATCATGGCAATAGCGATCATGGTTTCGAATCTCTCTGTAGCAGAGGAGCTGCTGCGATGCCTATTAATAGGGCAACAAAAATGGTATCAAAAGTGCATTTTCTCTAAAGATAGCGACATAACATTGGCTACTATGGTAACATTTAGCTAGTGTGCGTATATTCGAGATATACAACCGCAGGGCTATTTGGAAAGACTGCCGTTTTTGTACACGCTTCCGACTCGGCTGAGGAAGGCAGCCAGTTATGCGCATCTGGCGAAACGAGACCCTTGAGGTCGGTAGATTTGATGCCATCAAATGATAAACTAGGCCCTGTGGAGATCTGATAAAGAAAGGGGCGATAGGGGCTTGCAAAGCCGAAGAAGGGAGAATCAGACCAGAAGAAAAAGGGGTTGTGGGCGATAAGAGCCGAAAAAAGAGAGAAAAGGACAGGGAGAAAGAATGCCAATCATGATTCTGAATCAAACGCGTAGCCTTCTCAATGAGGGTGGCTAAAGCAATGAGATGATATCAAGACTTTTCTTGACATTCTCCCCTGACGTATATGCAGTGCGTGCTGTGCAAGAAGGGCATCCATCCATCACTATCACAATGAACAGTGCATATGCTTTCCCATTAACCACTAGGCTTAAAGGAGAAAATACAATCGCAAAACAAGAAACTAGGGGAAGGGGAAGGATTACAAATATCTTATCAAACGGGCGCCAACCATCTGATACACGTCGCCCATCCCTGCCTTTCACTTTTTTGGTCATAAAGGGGAGGTTTATCCTGGACGCATATTGAAGCTAACAATCCCCATACAAGGTCTAGGAATACTGAGGGGTGAGAGCGCCTGTGTTTAAGCCCCTTAACCACTCAACCAGCTGGGTCCTTTTTGATGGTAATGCACACATTTCCCAATATTTAAAGGAATAGATTGTAATGTAAGTGAATGTGTGTTTTGATATTGTTGCGGTGTTGAAGCAGAACTGGAAAAGGGGGTTTTGTATCATGTGACTTCTTGGATCTTTGGCAAGCAATCAAAGCTCCCAAGATAAAAAAAGACGAAGTGCTTTAATGAACAACCAATCTACAATAATTAACAAGCAGTTATTTATGTTATACAACTGGTATATACAATCAACTGGAGAACAGATAAGAACCCCATTTGCCTAAATTCACCAATTGATAATCATTCATCATATGGAATTTCCCAATTACCTGCCTTACCAACATCGCTCATGAAACTCATTCCTTTCCCTTTACCTCTCACTGTCGGCACTGATGTCGTCCATCTCCCACGGATCAGCCGTCTAATCAACCGTCCAACTTCTAGAAATGGCAGTGGACTTAAAGCTACCACCACCACAACCTACCTCGACAGATTCATCCGTCGCATCCTGTGCGAGCAGGAACTCAAGGACTTCCACGCGAAGTTCCCACATCATATCGCAAGTACGGAAAAGTTGACAGCGGCGCTGCCATCTAACCCTAGCGCCAATAATATAGAGATGGCTAGATGGCTAGCTGGTCGATTTGCCGCCAAGGAGGCTGCGAGGAAAGCAGCCCCCGGTGGCGCCTCGACGATAGGTTGGAAAGATGTCATAGTTCGCGTTGACAGGGAGGGGGCAGGAAGTGGGAGCGTGAAGCCGGAAATAATATATTTGAAGGATGGAGGCGCGCACGGGGAGGTAGGCCAGCTTTCCATCTCACATGATGGCGATTATGTGTTTGCGACGGTTCTTGCGGCGACTACACCTCCGACTACACAGCCGCCCGATGGTTGAAATCTACGTGGGATAAACGTTTTCTTCCTCAATTTAGGAAATGAGGACTATTCTATAGGGACGAGACAATTGTCTCAAGCTGGTCCATGCAATCCACATTTGAGAATGCTCGATGCTATCGTCACTGCGACTGAAGCCATCAAACAAGGGAATACATTGCAAAGGAGATGATACCGAGCACCGCTGAGTTCTTCTCTCAAAATGGCAGGGTTTCTTACGATTTTTTGGGGGAATGAAACTCATGGAACTATCCTGATGCGATAGAGACATACGGCTAAGGATATAGGACTGCACCCGGAGGAAAGTTAGAAACCCTAAGCTCTGCTACCATCCCCGTGTCGACGTTGGGAGGAGCTTATACCGAGGACATAGCCATCAACGTGGAGTCTTTATCGACGCGCATTTGGAATACACACACGTTGACTTCAGATTTGACCGTACCCCCTTTATGTTTGGACTACGTCCAGGGTTCAAGCACCAATCGAATATACTACTACCATACCATAATTGGTCCTAGAAGAATTTGATATCTGTAAAATACTAATTTGTACCTATATTCGTGATTTCGACATTTTACAGGTCACCTACGACCCTTTGCCCAACGAGAGTCCTCCATTTATAGCTAAGCTTGTACCTTGTGGGATGGTTTAATCTTCCTAACTTCTCGTGCCTGTCGCTGGTGATATCACTATACCTGGCAGAAATCAGGATGGAAGCTCACTTGGCCAGGCGTAACCATACTTCAATGCCATCGTCTCATTTTTGTGTAGATTGACAGTTCATGTGTTTCTTAACTTTTGGGCTTAATATCAAACGTCCTCGCATTTTTATTTTTTTACCATAGTGTCTAATATGCAACCCACGGTGAGATGGAAAATAGTTTATCTTAGCGAATTGGAATTATCGCCCTTTTAGTATTGTTGTGCTCTGCCCACCAGGCGTCGTTGAGGGTTAATCCTTCAACTTGGATGACCTTCTCCATGTCCTTGCGACCTAGTATAGAGGAAAGTAGCTCCGTCTATATTGAAGCGGATGTATATAAACTCAAGCCCATGCTACGCCATATTTGATGGTAGAGAATTTCCAACGATTCCAACGCATCGCTTGCGCCTACGATTGGGCATAATTGACAGAGCCCCTTCGCTTCGAGGTTCAGCACCTGTCCACCAGCCTGATGAACATATGGCTCAAGGTACTCTTGGCAAGTTAAATTTGAAGAAGCAGACCGGGGCAGTAAGCCCAGCTCCGAGCATCTTATATCTTTGTTAGCAAGGCCTGTCGACGCCATCCCGCTGATTACGTAGGTGAGCACGGAGATTCAGTACATGAATATCCAGAAACCCGATAGCGCTGGGGGTGCGACGAGGATGCTGCGAATTACGGTTAATTAAGTAAATCAAAACTAACGTGGAATATATAGCATACAAGAAAAGGTGATGATTGGTAGCTTTGGAAACAACTGATTAATATCAACTGTTGTGCCTGTGTCCTGAATTCCTGCAACAACCAAGTGACAGTTGTTGCAAAGGTACAATAGCAGCACCAAATTAGCAAAAACCATCAGAATACCCTTTTCATCTGAAACATCTCCAATAAATGATAGTAGTAGACGAATACTATCACAGCAATCATAGCCTGTCAGGGAAATTCGGCGACGGTCGTCGAAGAAAGGTAGGTTTTCCAAGGATACGTCTTGGAGAGACACTTGCGAGCCTCAAAAAGTGCGAAAAGTGCCCGGCTACGTACACACGTTACCATGAGAAGCTGACTTAGATTGGGTGAAAATGATTGTCCAGGGAAATATGGAGAAAACTTGATCCCGAACATCCACACTCTATAATATCTTTGAGTAGAGGCACAAAGGAACCCGCTAATGGTGTTTAAGGTTCTGATTGTAGCCACTCAAAATTGAGCCATGTAGGGTACCACATACCCTCCTTCTGCGTGTCTGATTTCTCGGGGCAGTTGGAAAACTTCTCCTTAACCCCCTAATATGAGGTTTAACGTTTAGTTTGTCGTTGGAACTAGCCTGAGAGCCGGTCACAACCCATTCATGAAAAGAATATGCATGTGTACACCGGATGAAAAAGAAAGAATCCTGGTATATGATTTGAAAAGCATCCCCTTTGGCAGCAGGATCTTGAACTCAGTTACAGACGGGGCCAATATTGATATGGCCTGCGCTGAAGCGCGTATTAAAGATTTTCCTCCGTCGTTTCTATGTAGCATCTTCGTTGTCCATAAGGGTCCTTAGAAATTCCCGTAGACTTTTATGCTTCTTAGTCTGGTATGCCGGGTTTATCTGGTACGGCATATTGGGGTCATAGACCAGAAGAAAATGATCTTCCATAGGCCAGAAATCCAAGCAGAAAGCGACTTTCAAGTAAGAGTCCGCTCTTTCGGATTTCAACCGCTAGGTACATTCTGACGAAGTGTGGAGAGAGGCTTCTAATAAGAAAGCACACACCAAGTGGGATGTGTCCAAGAAGCCAATTGAGCCGCGGCATAGGCTTTTAGTCCTATTTAGACGACGATCAGAACGCTCAAACGGATCGGCGCAGTGGAAGCTGGAGGGGGAGAAGCAGGCTCACGAGCCTCTCGAGCCTCTATCGCTGATCAGGCCGCACATGGCTACTTCCGTAAGCTTGATGGGAAACCCGTGCAGTAAAAATAACCACTGCCGGTCCGCACGACTCGCCATTAGAGTCGGTAGCAATAAAAGCACCCTGTTGAAGTTAGCTTTGCAGCACGGTTACACCATTGAGTGGGAATAAATGAATGAGCTGGGCGTTGTAAAGGCTATAGATAATGGAGATATAGACAAAGCTCTCCCATATTTAGCTTGCATGTTTTTATCAGAAACAATCATCTGTACTCTGTACCGTGCACAGCTGAAAATCGGCGTTGTGGGTTGTACCTGAGATCTGTCATGTGATCGGCAAGCCACCCGTGGACCCCGCCGAGGTAACTACCCGAGTTGGATAAGCTACCGGAGCCGCCAAACGTGTGGATTTAGAGCATTCAAGGGGTCGATATAAATAAACAACAGGAAACTCCCAGGCTATATACCCTTAAACATATTCTTTCTTTTCGCCAACCGCCGGCAAAGGACGTGTTCCGTTTTCCATTTTCCGTTTCCTTTTTCCTCGAAGACTACCGAAGTCCTAGTTTTCTACATCAGTAGCAAGCGAGATCATTGGTCCGAAGATATTAGCTCAGGGAATTGGTAAGTTAGCTGAGCTGAGTGGTCGCCTTGGTTTCTGTGTCTTGAACTCTTGATCCGTGATATCAAAAAGCGCCCGTTTTTGTTCTTTCGTGTTTTAGCCGTGAGAGGTCGAGTGACACAGACGTGCTGGGAGATACCTGGCCGCTGACTGCTGGATAGATTGTTGAAAGACCGACGCGCTTCAATTCTTTGCTGCCGTGAAAGCATCCGGGCCGCTCTACTGCAGAACAATACCCGGAAAAAACATTGCAAGAGGGAATCTTGAATTTTCCATTAAGCTCAGCATGCCGTTTTCACATCATAGCCATTCCGGCCAGTTCTGCGAGGGCCACGCAAAGAACTCGCTGGAAGATGTCATTCGGACCGCCATCTCAAAGAAGATGCGCGTCTTTGCTTTGAGTGAGCATATGCCGAGAGAAGAGCAGGATTTTTATCCGGAGGAAGTAAGCTTTTCGTTTCTTTTCTTTTCTTTCTTTTCTTTCTTTTCTTTCCTTTTTCTTTTTCTTTTTCTTTTTTTTTCTTTTTCTTTTTCTTTTTTTTTCTTTTTCTTTTCTTTTTCTTTTTCTTTTTTCTTTTTTTTCTTTTTTTTTTCTTTCTTTCTTTCTCTCTTCGGATGATTAAATGATGATCTTGATAACACAAAAAAGATTCCTTTGGCTGACGGGTGGTATAGATTGAAGCGGGTGGCACCGAGGCGGCTCTAATCGAGAATGAAGCCGCATATTTCAAAGAAGCCCAGCGTCTACGTGAGAAATATAGCTCCGAGATAAATATCCCCATTGGATTTGAGTGTGACTGGATTCGGCCGAGTTCGTTGACGTGGATCCACAACTCATTGGCCATGCTTCCATTCGATTTCTTTATAGGTTCGGTCCATCACGTACACACTATCCCGATTGACTATGATGTCCCCTTTTATCAGAAAGCAAGAGAGATTGCTGGGGGTACAGATGAGAAGCTCTTTGAGGACTACTTTGATGCACAGCTCGCCATGCTCAAGGCGTTAAATCCACCGGTTGTTGGCCATTTTGATCTGATCCGCTTAAAAAGTGATGATCCCGAACGGAGCTTCAAGCAGTGGCCGGCAGTCTGGGAAAAGATCCTGCGAAATTTAGACTATGTGGCAGGATATGGCGGGATATTGGAACTCAACTCCGCTAGTCTGAGGAAGGGAATGAGCGAACCATATCCCAAGGCTGAGATCTGCAAGGTAGATTCAAAATTCCGCACCCTTTCAAACGAGAAGGGAAGGGGGCCGAATGATCTCCGCCACGGTTAACTAACCAAAAAAAAAACCGTTGTGCTGTAGGAATTTCTCTCACGGAATGGCCGATTCTGCATGTCGGATGACAGCCACGGCATTGACCAGGTTGCTTTCAATTACCATCGTGTGCTCGAATTTGTAGAGCAGGTTGGCGTTTCCACCCTGCACTACTTAGAGTACTGCAGCGAGCTACCATCATCGAGCGACAGCTTCGATCGGAGGTTCCCTCACATTAGGCTGAACTCTATCAGTCTTGCAGATCTCAAACAGCTGGCCTTCTGGTCACAGCAATAACTAGTGGTAATCCCCGAAAGAAAAGGAAAAAAAAACCATGACGACACCAAAAGACCCCAGTCCAACCCCAACCTGCAAACTACCCTTCCGTTCCCGGGGTATCCCGTCCAAAGCGGTGGCATATGCAAGCCAAAGAAACGTTCCTGGTTGCATGGTTTTCAAATCTACTGCTCAAATTTAGCCCTTAAAACAAAGTACAATGTGCCTCCGCGTCCTGGTTTGTGGAACGTGCTGGCATTCGCACAAGGTCTGAAAACGACAAGCTTGCATTATTTTTCTTCTTTTTCTCTTCTTCTTCCTTTGTTCTAGATGTAGATGACACATACTCTACTCCGACTCAAGCAATAGGCCGGTCAGGTTCCTTATGTGGACGGGATGACTTGACCCGAACCTTAATATTTAACCGATGCCTTTATCCGCTTGCGTGCAACGCCATTGAGAAAAAGAATAAGAGAAAAAGCAATTGAGAAAAGAACCGAAAACAGCAGTTTGCTAAATTCCCACTGATGCCCCAATCCAGAAAACAACCATGCGCTAGTCTCCGTTCTTAGTGGGTCGGCTCAAATTATTCTTGGACGATCGTTGTCAGTTCCCGGGCAGAGCGAAACCCGCTGGCAGGATTAAAAAAAGAAAAGAGAATAGAAGCGTGGCCAAATCATCACCCAAAAGTTTTGTATGCAGCTTAGCTACACACGAGTTACATGTGGTTAACCAAAGAATCATGACTGATAAAACAAAGCAACGGAAGATTTACCGATAGAGATATTCAAAACCGCCCACATGGGCATCTTCCTTCTCCCGGCTTCAAAACTACACATTACTCATTAGTTACCATCCCCTCTATCATGCTTGTTAATTCTCCGCAATCGGTTAATCCTCAGCTTCCAACAGCCAATCGGCGGAACAATAGGGAAAATGAGGTGTGTAGTTGTAGATGTTTTTGTAGCTGCGGACCTTCCTAATAAATGTCCTTAATCCCGCGGGGATATCTCATATCGACAGCCTGACCTGATTTTTCGATTATGATTTTTTTTTATTTTTATTTTTTTTTATTTTTATTTTTTTTTTATAATAAAATGAAAATCAGGTATGTCTGTTCTAAATGAGTCCATCTCCTGTTGGGCAATTGGCCGTGTGAGTCAGTCACTCGCTCTCTTTTAACAGATATTAATTAACTTAATATTGAGAAAATATTGAAGAAATTGTAATTAAAAAATATATATATATATATATATATATATATATATATATAATAGAGATTGACAGTATTTATATTAATACTATCAAATTTATGAGAAAACCACAGAAATAATTTATTTAGAATCTAGCTTCACTGAGTGATAAATTGACTAAATGTTGTAGATATGATATAGAGATAGTAATAATCTTGTATTTGGGCGGTAGCTTACAAATCATCTAGGCCCGGTTAACTTACTACTGTATGAGAAATGGATGATAAATTCATCGGGGAACCATCACGCATGCGTCCGTGAGAAAGCGCTGCTGGCTTTTGGCCCTTGAGAGGGGACGTGTTAGTTTTTAGTAGTGTGTGAGTGGAGACGTTGTGGTGATAATTGTTATAGGTTGGGCGCGGGGGGAAATAATCGAGGAGGTTAAAGAGGTTGATAACATGGCGACGGAGAAAGGAAGGACACATATAATAATGAATGAGAAGGGGTTGGAGGAGCTGATTACGGATGTGCAAATTCTACGTGATGTTTGTATCTTTCTATATGGTTTATAACTTTCACTACTGCGTAGCCCTTAGCATTATTTCCTAATTCTGGTGAAACATCTTCCTCTGAAAGGAATTTGTGTACGATCCTGGCTGGAGCGGGTTAGCGAGGCGAGGCTGAAGGTGTGGGTTTTCTTCCTCTTGGGCGTGGAGGGAGGGGTTATTCTGCTTTATTATTATTATTATTATTATCATTTTGCCTTTGCTGGACTCGAGCAAAACCTCCCATGAGTCCCTGAGTCCCATCCCAGCTTAGTGCACGGGCAAAAATGTGCACGAAGAGGAATCTAGATCTGCGCCGAATCAGGACATGCGAGGAGCTTTGAGAATCAATTTAGCCTGTAATTATTTATCGCCATGGATAAGGATTTACGCATCCACATTATTGAGGGGTAGATTCGGACTTCCACCACAAGAAAAAAAGTCAGGCCGTGAGATGGAGAACGTTTTTGGACATGCACAGGTTTCATATCTCTGTGCTTTTGGTTTGGGCGAATACACAGTAACTACCAGTCTGAGAAATGGTCGTCTATAACCTGCAATGGTGCGGAATGGAGGATGTTGAAGACGCTTTGTTGACTCGCGCCTCAAAGGGAGGGGAGGGGGGGATGTGAGTGGATCGGCTCGGATCGACAGGGAAAAAGTCACAAGTAGATAATTAATTTTGAACTCTATTGAAATATTCCGTAAATCTCATGAGGACAGAGTAGTAAACTTGTCCATATAACTAACTAGCGATTCAAAGATATATCAAAGGGCCATCCTTCCGCTACCCAGGACATATTTCTTCCTTCGACAAAGCAAGTTCTCTCGTCCAAACGATCAAGGGCCAAGGGAGCGTGAACATTTAGGACTGAGCACTAGAGGAGAAGCGGCTTATCCTGTCAGGGCCTAACAGCGATGACTTTGACAAGATAGGTGGGTACTGATAGATTTCTCAAGTAACAAACACTCCTGGCTGTCAGCCAGAGTCCATGGATTGTTTCGCTTGCCGCTATAATTTTTCATCCTCCTCGGAACGGGACGCTGAGACATAAGAGATTGATGTGCAATATCTGGACAGGCGGGCAACAGTGGTGTTTACATGCCACACCAGGCACAGGGTCAAAAACGAATCACAATATAAAATTGATAAATAATTAAGTTCTTCAGATATTTGGCCAAGCAATCAGTAAGGGAGAGAGGTAGGCATCCTCATGGTCTTTTTCTGACATGTATTTTGGGCGGCTATTGCGAGAAATCGAAGCGTGAAGTTAAGAGATCAAAGTTGACCCTTGCCACTTTAGACAGTTCCGCGGGGTGGGTACTAGGGCCGGTTCCAATGATTGATGGGGATCATATTTTGTTCTTCTCGACGATTCTAGTTCTTGTATCAACAAACACACATCCAGATTCTGAATTCCGTACGGAGCCTTTCTACATAGTAGTAGGAGGACAATGTAACTGGAAGAGCTGTAACCTGGTTGGAGGTTTTCTTTTCTATCTAGCTTTGGTGAGTGTGAATATTGGTAACTAGAGTTCAGAGGAGAGAAAGCAACCAACCCTGCGTACAGGGTCAACTAGCTCTAAGCCAGTGTCAACACTAATTCCTCGCAAGACACTAAAAACGCATCAGGCCCCTGATCTCAGTGATCTGAGCCTGAGAGTTTGGCTGGATCCTTGGTAGTCCTGGACACTAAATAGGAACAGGTGAGGCCTCTTTGTCTTTGGCTGGCGCTCAGATATCAAAATCCCCGAGTAACTTGACCCGACCGGTTTGAGGTTTATTGATGTGGCGCGTCTTCCCGGCGGTCTTGCAATGCGAGCCATCGACGAGAGGGAGGAGAAGAAGGAGAAGGAGAATGTGCTTTGATCGATATCAGGATGGACATGCTGTCCACCACAGCCAGAATAATACGACGGAGATATAAAACTCCCGACTGTTAATAAGTGTCCATTTGCTATTGGGTCAAGCCGGCCTAATTTCCTCTGACTGGTAGGGTGGTGTTCCCGTCCAAACAGACACTTCCAGTGTCAGGTAGTTGGTAGGTACATCCACCGATTCCACAGGACAGGAATTGGGGGAGGACGTCCACAGCATCCACAACATCCCACAACGCCCATCACGCCCACATCATTCCATTCGTAGGCCTCCCTCCCCTCTCTGCCTCTCTGCTGTAGCCTGTAGGCGTTGCTGCTGGGGGTGTTTGCGATCGGGTCAGGGACGACGGTGGTGCAGCAGCGCGGCGCGATGTCCGCAGGGATGGCCAGATGGCGGGTGGATTACGTATGCAGCACTAGCTAATTAGCTAACTAACTTAACCAACTAACTAATTTGGGCGTTGTTTAGGGCTTGGACCGTGCAGGATCGATCCCGAGGTCTTTCTTCCTCACCAAGACTGGAAAACTCACCACCAACCAACATCACCGCATCTACTACTACTACTCCCACCAGACAAACAGACAATGAACATTGGGCCGTCCCAGCAATCATAACCACGACACACAGGGATCAGCAGGCCTCTTACGGCTAGCAAGGGCGGGAGATAAATAACTCTCCCACTTCCTCCCCCCTCCTCTCCTCCTCGCCCTTGACTGAATGATTTTGATGCTGGTCGTCGGTCACTCGCGAGGCTTCTGGCAAGCGGACGAAAACTGCCGACTTTTGCTGAATCCTTGAGGACCACTTTTGGAGAGGGGTCGAGTCATCTAGGCAGCGCTCTAGACCTCGAAGCGGGGCATCTACTGGTCGAACCGCCCGCCATGGCCCATGAGGGCCCATGACCTGGCGCGCTCGTGTCTGTGGCGTCCGATCTACTGCACACCTGTGCCAAACCCCGTCTGTTGGATTTAAGGGTGTCAGCCTATCTGCAGAGCTTGCTCTCCACTAAAATGATAACTCTACCGCAGCCACTGGTCATTGGATGGTATTAACAGCCAAGCGCATCCAGGTGCAGCCCCCAATAAGCGTCCAGCCCAAGGACTCAAAACTCTGCATATCCAGCATGGGACAGACGATCGAACGCGACATCTTTTTGCTGCGAAAGTTGACTAATTAGATTTCAACGCGATTCCCGCAGTGGATTCCATCTGGAAACCACTGAGCTTTCAACCGGTGGCCCCAGAAGCTGACATTTCCCCGAAGCAAAACTCAGGTATAGAGGTGCTACTTTCGGGTTGAAAAAAAAGGTAAAAATTTTTTAAAAAAATAGCATGTGTGATGTGGCAAGCTGCAGCAGAATGGATTCGAATGGATTTGAGCTTCAATTCAATTGCTCGGAAGGCCGTTCCTTTTCCTTCTTCGTGGTCATGCCGTCTTTTCTTCTCTAGCATTTCATCCCGGATGCCTGTGACACCACACTTTAAAATTTTTCTTTTTTCTTTTTTCTTTTCCTTTTTTCTTCTTTTCTTTTTCTTTCTTTATTTTTTATATTTATTTTCTATATTTTTGCACTTGATTCTTCAACTGTGCCCCTTCGGATTTCTCCAGTTCAAAACAGGCGGGTTGATTTTGCCCCACCTCATCGTTCAAATTAAGTATATAGTGCACCTCCCCTCCCCGCCGGTCCCTGGATTTAGAGCTCTCTGCCACTTGACACTGTGAGCTTCCAATCGTTTGAATATTCGAGACATTCGTTACTTCTCCTTCAGCATTTGTCCTAAAGAATCCACCAGCTCCTCCATTTTATACGCCTAAAGATTAGATATCGATTTGGACAGTTATCCACTGGGTCTTTCGCTATGGGTGTTACAAAGACAATACTCAAGGCCGGCAACGGAGTCGACAAGCCCAAGACAGGGGACGATGTTGTGATCGACTACACAGGATGTCTCTATGACCCGGCGGCCGCGGATAAACATTACATGGGAGACGAGTGAGTTTTGCAACCGATATGGAAAGACCGATGAGCTTAGAAGCAAGGCGAAAGGGAAGCAAGAACATCGACTTTACGCTGACCCTCTAAATCCGGGATAGGTTTGATTCATCCAAAGATAGAGGGGAATTTAAAACTGCAATTGGCATTGGAAAGGTCATTCGAGGTATTTGCGCCATTTCTGTTTTTTTGAGTGGCGAGTTGTTCTCCAAGCACGCTGGATCACGAGCCACTCCCCATCGAAAATCTAAATTCATCACTCTGGCAACATTTCCGGCTGATCCTTGGGCCCTACACAATTAAGGCTGGGATGAGGCGGTTCTGAATATGACGCTTGGCGAGAGGAGCATCCTAACTATCACCCCGTAAGTCGTCTCGTTCCCCGGGTCGTTTTCGATATGTATGGAAAGGAACGCAACATTTGGTCCAATTACCGTCATTTTCATGCAAGGAAAATGTCTGGCTAATAATTTCCGTTTTGGGCTTTGTGCTACAGAGACTACGGGTATGGTGACCGGTATGTTACTTTTTCATTTATTCGTTATACCATCCTTGCGCAAAAAGAACAGGACCAAAACCAGACTGGGAAAGAATGTGACAATTACAGCCCCTCCATTCCGGCCCCTGTTCATTCATTCATTACTCGTCCAGTGTAATGGAACATGGCTTTTAAGTTCAAAGGGATGGGAACTTGAAGTTTATATCAGATCACTGACCTTTCCTTATCATTGGCGGCCTTCTAGTGGTTTCCCAGGTCTAATCCCACCAAACTCGACTCTCGTTTTGTAAGTACCAGACAGGCACCCAATTTTTCTCTCATCGTTCTTTTGCCAGTTTTCCCCTTGTCGTTTTGGCATGCATAGTTCACCGCTCTTCGTTCCTGAATCCTTTTTGGATAATTATTACCCTAAGCCTTATTTTCGTTTAGCGGGTTGCTTTAATCCGGCTTACGGCAGGTCCACTTATCCGGGTTGGCGTGCCTGCAGTGGAAGCTCCCGGCCCCTCCGCCTTTGCTGATTTGTTGAACATTTGAATACGACCTCGCGCCATCCAGCATTGCATTTCGAGATATCTTCCCCCCAGGCTTAGCCAACCAATTAAAAGCGAGAACATAATTGCCCGCTAACGCATTCTAATTCTATCACACAGCGAGGTCGAACTCAAGGGAATCAATGATCTGCGGAGTTGTTAAATTGGGACAGGCGATGGGGTGGCGCCAACCCGACAAATCGAGAGAGATGTTTGAGGACTTGAGCCCACGGAACAGCCCTCCGCGCCGGAAATTTTTTATTCTCGAATGCTTCCCGAACCCTTCTCCCATCAAACGGGCGTCCCACAAAATCTAATCCGCATCCCGCCTTCCTACGTCCATTATCACACCATTCTTGCGTCGCACCATACCTTTCTTTGCTCGTTGCCCGTTACTCTGCGTTCCTTGATCCATTATTCGCTACTCGACACAACAAAAGAACCTAAAAGAAAAGACAACCTATATATACTTCGACTAGACAAAATCGGCTGCATGATTCCAAAAGCAGGCAGGAAGCCAGGACAGGGCACGGGATAACAATTAATGCATCTCGCGAACTAACGAATGGAGTCCTGCAACCGCGGCTCTCTTTCTCCTATATTGGTTTTCGTTTCGCCTCCTATTAAAGAAGTCATCGAATAAGATTTTTGTCGTGGGGTGTATCATTTTTGTTTGCCCAAAGGAGTAGCTTCTGCACGTTTTCGCATTTAAGAGAAGAAAAAAGATTCGATTATACAGAATTTTGAGGGGGAAGATTTTACTTTTTAAAAAACAAAAATTGGGGGTTGGAGGATCCATTGCTCATTGTTCTGGCAATTTCTTTTCTTTTCTCTCTCATCGGCACCCCCTCTTCGCAGCTCCTGATTTTTTTTTCTCTCTTTTTGCCCTCTTTTCTCTCTCCTTTTTTTATTTTTTGTGTTGCACCCCCGATTATCTTCGTACCCTTTTTAATGACCCCCCCATCATAATAATGTCTGGTTTTAAGCCTTCACTTACATTTACGCTTAAACGAATGTTTTGCCCTAATGCCCTCATGCCATGTCTACGTCGTCGCCATGTTTTCCTTTCTCCTTTTCTTTCTTGCTTGGTCAATTTTTTGACCCTTTCACAAACCCTTAATGCCTTATACGGCTTCCATTCATTTATTCTTGACAAAGCATTTCTTTTAGCTTCTTTTTTTCTTTTACCTGTTTTAATTTTTAAACAAAACAATTTCCGGGTGCTTCTCTTGTTTCGTTTTATCCCGCTTCACCTGCCACCGATTGATTACCTGTATCCGCCTCGTCTTGCTTCCTCTACTCTTCCTATTTCATATTATTATTATTATTCTCCTTCTTCGTATTATTTTTAGGGAACTTTTGAGCCATAGGCTCTCCTAATCTAATCTTAACCATCTTTGATGCGATTTCTTTTCTTTCTCTTTCCTTTCTTTTTTTTTCCCCCCTTTAACGCACGGAGAACGGAGACAAAAAAAAAGAGCTCTCGGCAGTTTTTTCCAAACATGGTGGGTGGTTTGTGTGAATGATAATAGATAGATTGATAGATGCTGTCGGCAATAACAATCCCTCTTCTTCTCCTTCCAACCGCTTAGTGGCCTCTTTTAATTATTCCAACATGTTTCATCATAGTATACATAGATAGTTCTCTCTTATTGTCTAGCCGTTCATCCTACATGCATTCAACATTCTACGCAATTTATATAGATATATGTATAATTCTTTCATCTCATGAGGTGGAGAAAAGCATGGAGCATGGGTACATGACTTACATATAGTAGTAGTATGAATAGAAAGAAAGAAACAAGTTTTAAATATGCCAATCAGGTAAAATCATATATAATATAGAGAGCAAAAAAAAAAAAAAAAAAAAAAAAAAAAGAAAAAAGAAAAACTTACTTCTACTCATAATACACATACGACACACATACATTTTTTTTGTTTAGTTTTCATGAACTAAATAAAGTAACTAATAATAATTAAGACATACAAAAGAAAAGAAAAAGAAATTGAATTACACAAAACTCATGATGAAGACAGAAAGTATGAATGAGTGAAGAACAAAGAAGTTTTTAAGAAAAAATAGTAATTAGCTCAGAGTTGGAGTTAGTTAGACATGAGAAAACAAAGGAAAACTAAAAGGAAAGAGTAAAGCAAAGGGGTATAAATAGAAGAAAGTAATATGGTGTAGTAAGTAGTAAGTGATAAGTAGTAAATAAGTAGTAATAAGTTGTAGAAAGAAACATAAAAAGAAACATTGCTGGTGTGTTGTGTTGTATGGTGTGAGATTCTATACATATTGCATGTTGGCTCTGCAACCTTCTTCTTTCTACCTGAGAAAGATTTGATAGACAGATAGATGATAGTAAGGGAAAAAGCTGACATGAAACCATAAAACAGAATTGAACATTGAAAACCCTGTAAATTTGATAATATGCACAAGTTTTTGTGTGAGTGTTAAGTGTGGTGTGAGATATTCATTATGCATGTAGCAAGCACTGAGGACAAAAAAATAGAGCATAGGTCAAGGAAGGGTACACAACCAGTATAGTTAAGTTTGAAGAAATGATTTGAAAATGAAGGGGAAAAAAGGAAGACAAAAAAAGGATCGATTTGGCTTTAGACTGCGTATTTTGCAGTTCCTTTTTTTTTTTTTTTTTCACTGGCCACTCTTCCTTGTTTCGAGATCTCCTCGTGCCTTTTATGTTTTTGCTTCTCTTCCCTCTCCGCTGACAAAGAACGGAATGAAAAACGGTTGCATCTGTTAGGGACCGCGTTGGAAACGGTAGCGGGAATTCCAAAAACGCCGCACCACCGCTTTGCAACGTTGATATTTCCGTCTCGCGCTCCGCGACTCGGCCAATTGTAGTTGAGAAGAAATCGGCCAATTGCAATTGAAGAAAGACGGCGGAAGTGCTGGAAACGAAGAAGGAAAAACAAGAAAAGAGAGAAGAAGGCAGCGAGAAAAATAAAACCAAATCTCACAGGGGATCCATTCCCTAATTCCACCCAAGCGAATTCTCAGCCATGACAGGGGCACTGATCATCTGATTCCGCCCGCTCCCTGATCCACTACTGGTGCTCTGGCTATCTCGTGCACCATATGGGGTTGGGCTTGTGTACCCATCCGAGCGGCCACCACTCATCAAGGCATCCGTGGCAATCGGTCCAGCAGCACCACCGGCAGCACCGGCGATACCAATTTGGCGCATACCACTTGTCAGTGAGCTTGTGCGGCGGTGGAGCTTGCGCCTCTTGCGGTAGCGGCGCGCTACGAAGAACATCGCCGCACCATACAAAGCTGCACCACCAACGACACCAAGACCAATTCCGACGGAGGTCGCCTTGACACTGGAAGAGCTGCCTGAGCCACCAGGTCCCTCAGTTTCGTCGTCACCTCCCTCGGAACCCCCTCTGCCACCGCCAGGGCGTCCAATGGAACCGCCGCTGCCGCCGTTGCCTGGGTTGTTTTCCTGGTAAATTGGCCCTCCGCCTGGCAAGAGAGGAATGGAGGGGTCGATCATGGACATGAGTTTGGCAACCGACGGGTTGGAGTTTTGGTAGATGAGCGAGTAGGGGCTGTGGATCGCGACGGATAGTTCGTCGACCAAGTGCTTCGGGATATACATAACAGCTAGTGTAGCTGTGTACTGGAGAGTATGCAGCGCGCCATAGGGCTGGATGGATTGCATGATGACAAGATCGGCTGCAACCTGCAGACCATAGCTAACGCCGATGGGAACATAACTGAAGACTTGAACATTCGAATCCCTGTTTGAAACAACAAGCCCATAAGGGAGCGAGCTGTTGAACCCAATCTGAATCAGCCTCGAGTTGGCTGGTGCCTTAGGAATGCCCGAATCAGGAGAGATAATTCGAGGAAGGGAGGAGGGCTTGTTCGTTTCCGATGGGTTTGGCGGGACAGGGGTCGGTTGGAAGACAATACTGGTCGGGATTACCATCGAGGTTAAAGAATCGGTAGAGATTGGCTTCTTAGTTTCCTTTGACGACGACGATGGTGGTGGCGGCGGCGGCGTTTGAGTGGCCGAGGAGGTCGTGGTCGGCGTTACAGTGGTAGAGTTCTTCGGTGGAACCCATCCTGTCGGGCGGTCTGTCGGATTGGGGAAAACGCCAGACGGAGTGGTACTTGGAGTGGGTATAACAAAAGTAGAACTGCTATTCTGGGACGGGATCGGGTCCGTGGATTTTGGGGGCAGCACGGTGGGTGTTGGGAAAGGTGGAAAAGTAATTCCGCCATCTGTGGTATTGCCAGGCGCCGAGGTGACCGGCATCGATGCCGATGGGCTCGGCGTTGGGGTAAAGATCGGCGGAATGGTGATGGAGGGAAGATTGAGGGTGGGGAGATTGAAAGTGGGAAGATCGCTGGAGGAGGATGGGAGCGGTGTCAAATCAGTCAAATCAGACCTAGTGCCGGAGGAGGTCGAATCGGTAGCTGAATCAGAGCTTGAGCTGCTCGATGGACTCGGGAATAGAGGGGGTAGGGTAAGAATTGGGCCGTCCGTCGGTTCGGATTCGGTTTCGCTCGCGGTTTGGGTTCCCTTGGAGCTGTCACTGGTAGTGGTACGGCCAGTGCCACCAATGGGTGGAGTGGGGGTACCAAGGCCTGGAAGCTCAAGGGTTGGGAAGCCCTCTAACAAGCCCTGCTTACTGCTTGATGAAGAAGAGGGCGACGGAGAGGGTGTTTGAGCCGGGAAACCTGTCGCGCCACCTTTGTGAAATGAGACGCCTTCCGTTCCCGAGATTGAAGCGGACGGAGGGGCAAATAGTTTGGGCAGTCCAAGGTCGATTCCGCCCAAAGGGGATGAGCTAGGGTTGTCTTCAGGGTCTTCACCTTTTGGGGTAGCGGAGGCGTTGGGGAAGCTTGTATCAACAGTTGTTGTGGACGTGTGGCCTCCAAGCGTGTACCGTTCGCCATCAGGACCTACGTAAACAGTGACAGGGATGATGACGACAGTAGGGCCTGGGTCGACTTGCGGAGCGCGCTTCTCTGCTGGAGCGGCAAAGCCATAGTAGCGATTAGCTTCTCGTGGAAAGTAATACTTTGGTCGACCTTGTGCACCAGCGTTAGCGGTTTCGCATAGGGGAGCCAGTGAGAAAAAGGCCGCTAGGATAGAATATGTTGTGGCCCGCATATTGACGGTAAGTTCCGTCTAGGCCAGCGTTTTCTCGCTCTTGGTATCGTGAAGGGCCTCCAATAGATTTGTCAACGCTGTAATCCCAAATTAGACAAACTAGAACTCCAGACGTGGGTTCGAGGCAATTGTCTTACAGTTGGGCTTTGGACAAATAAATGAGTGTATACGACAAATAGATGTCGAATGTTATTGTTTCTATTTGTAAGTTAGCATCCAGAGCGTCTTTACTTGAAGAAATAGGAGAAATCCAGATGGTAAATATATAGAGCAGCAGAAACAAGGCAGGATCATCACATTGATACAATTTATCTGAACAAGAGAAAAATTGCAGCAATCAACACATAGACAATATTTCGGTGAAGTGATAATCAGCAGGAGCAGGGACTGAGATACATGATAAAGAGAAAAATAGCTTACCTATCAAAGGAGCGGAAAGGGACAAATGTCCCAGAAAAAAGAAAAAAAAAAGGAGTGACGAAAAAAGCTGGAAGTTACAACTTCCTGCTGCAATAAAGGCTAGACTACTGAGTAGGGTATAAAACTACCGCCTCGATCCTCGATAGCCGTGGTGGTTATGCAGAAAAATCGCAGAATTCGACAATCTGCGCGGGCGCAGTGGAGGCTGGAAACAAAGGTTCGTTTCCGTTTGTATTGTTCGAAGATCAATCCCCTTTCCAGTTCCCTAGGCATTCATATCCCGGAGTCAAGCAACGGACTTTAAGAGGGAATATGGAGAGACCAGGCAATCGATTATTTTGGCGAGTCCTTGAGGGCATCCAACCCAGCTTCGTCAGGTACCGCGTTGTATATAGTGGCCGGTTCGATAGACCAAATAATACAGTGTGACCGGCACGTGCACACACACACACACACACACACTTTTCCCAAAAGTCTTGTCTTTTCTTTCCCTTGTCTTGGTTTTTTCTTCTTTTTTTCCGGCAGTTCCTCTTGTCGAAATATGGCTATTCCAACTCAAATCAAAAATATTGAAAATAGTATTTTCTCTTTTTTGATTTAGATTTAGACAAGATGGAAGAGAACGTGATGGGATCCGCGAGTAAAGTAGATTCCCTTTGGGAAGACTGAGGGCGACCGATACTATTAGAAGTGTATATATATATATAGAGTTCGACGTGGGTTATGGTGAAACGAGCGGCACCAAAGAACTTTTTTGGTATAGGAGTGGCCGGACGCAACGAGGTGAGTTTAAACGGGGGAGGAGGAGATCTATCTGTCCATTGTTATTATATTTGGTAGTGTTTTCTTTTCTTTTCTTTTCTTTTCTTTATGAGTTGAGTTGAATGGAGGTTCGTCATGAATAAATACATTGCGCAAATTGGGAAGGGAAAGTGGAGGAGGAGGGGGCTGACGAGGAAAAAGGGGCAAGGGAAACAGCACGCACGAGAAAGGGATTGTCGGATCTGAAGAGGTCGCTGGGGGGAGAAGAACGACTGGATCGTCGACAGTCGACGCAGAGGATGGCGACGGAAGAGGAGAAGAGGAGAAGAGGAGGAGAGGAGGAGAGGAGAGGAGAGGAGGAAGTGAAGAGAAGATGGAAGATGGGATGAGTGAGATTTGGGCGGTGGAGAGGAGATGAGATGGGGGACAAGACAAGCGCCAGCGACATGGTATTATCTCATACATACGGTACGGAGTACAGAAAATAATAATCCTTATACGAGGCTGACAACAACATTCTGTTTTTAGGGTTCAGGGGCTAGACCCACAAATTTGCTACCCACCCCGCGTGCCCAATCATAAAGTTACCATTCTCTATAACAGGGATAAATTACCATCCATACCATACCAATACGAATCCTGTGAACAAGGAACAAGGGAACAAACAAGAACCACCTTAGTTGGTGGTGATATTAAAATTGCACACGCCCCCTGCACCATCATAATACAATAATTACGCTTGTACATGTACAAGTATTCATAATAATACCCCTGCATCTACGTAATCCACCTGCTCAACGCCGGCCGCTTCCAAGCCAGAGTGGCCCACTTAATCCCGCGCCAACCTAGCTACAACGGGACATGGGCCTCAGTCCGAGGTAACACTCAGATGACGCCCAGATGACGCCAATGTCATCCCACATGCGCTAGACCAGGGGCCGGTATTGTCCTATATTGTATCACTAGTGCTCCGTACAAAGGTACTGTATGGTTACAGCCTTACAGGAAGAACTTTAAAGCCATTTTGAGTTCAGGAACGGAACCTTGAAAAATGCCAAAAGCAGCCAATCATAATCAGTCAGAGATGGAACAAAAAGAAAAATGTCTGAACTAATTAAGAGATGTAATATGTAAATTATAATTAGACTTCAAAATAATTTATTGAAATCTTTAATTAAACTCTTATATTATTGAAATTAACTCTGTAATTAGAATTAAATTTTATTTTGATTATATCATTAAAAGTTTTTCTCAGTAGTAATAATTTTATTTATTTATTATTTTTCAATTTTTTCTGTATAAAGTATAAGTATTAATAAATATACTCCTAGCTGGCGGGTGGGTCGGCTTCGCCGCGCCGCCATGCCTCTTCGGGCATGGCCTCTCGTCGCCTCTGGTCTAGCGTCCACATTTAGGGTCTAGTGCGTCTACCTTGCGTTTGGCGCTTCCCTTTCGGGTTTGGCGCCTTCTCCTCGTCAAACCACCATCCAACCAACCTTCCTCGCCGGTGATCTATATAAACAACCTCCCTCGACCTCCCATCTCGCACGAACTCGCTCTTTCTCTTCCACTTCTTTTTTTAACTTCTTTCTCCCCCGTCCTTTTGATATTTCCTATTCTATCCGTGTCTCTCGTATCTCCCCCTGCGCCCCAACAAGCATAGTGTTACATTACATCTCTATTCCCTTCATTGCAGCCTGTACTGCACAACTTCTCTCCCTTTATTTTAGCACGGAATACTGGTTTCCTCCTTGTCATTCGAGTCTAGAGACGGAACTGCACTCCCTCTATTCTTTCATTTTCTCTTCTTATCTCTCGGTCCGATGCGTGCTTGATTCAGATCTCTTGCATCGCTCTTCGCGGTGGGATATTTCAACACCTAAAGGTCGATCCAGTCTCGAGCTTCTGGCGGGGTGGCTAGGCTATTCTCATTGCGAACCATGTTGGGGCCAAAATAGTTTTGGATTTTCCCTTGGACCAATAGCAAAATTGCCTCATCTCATTATCTGCGGGTCTTGTAATTTCGGCGGCGCAGCCCCCCAATGCATTTGACTTGGGGCTCCGTTGATCATGGAATCTTGGATATCTCACAAGGCCATAGCCATTCTGGGAAAATTCGAAAAAGGGGTTTAGATTCTTATGCATTCCCACGTCAACCCGTCAAGGGTAAAGGGGCATGGCATGGTCCAGCTGTCATTTCTGCCTCGGACAATCTCGGTAGCCTTTCGATATTCCCTGGTGGTCTCCAAAGTTGGTCGACGGCGCTGGCTAAACCGGGCGATCACGAGCGAATATGTTTCTTAGCAGGTTCTGTGTGATCTGAGACCCTGGTGGGTGTTAGTTGGACTTTCACTGGAAAAAGGATGCTGGACCCTGCATTTCAAGTGTTTCCACTCTATTCTAAGTCTTCACACAAGATTGGTCAAATGGTATAGTCCTGCCGGTGGTAAACGGAGGAGGGAAAGAGGAAGGGCGGAGGGCGGGGTGGCGATGAACGGGAGGTTACTTCGCCTATGTGTCTCATGGTGCTGAACTGCATTATGTAGCTACACAAGTCCTGGTTGCAGTTACAGCCAGGTCCAACTGACCATCAGGTGAGGCGTCCTTTTTCCCAGCTAGATTTGCGAAGATTGTTTAAGCAAGACAGATTGTGAGTTTCACAGCCTTTGTCTTTCATTTTGGATTGTCTATATAAGCAGCTGGATGTTTCTCTTTCCCATGAATGAAAAGTCAGTGTGCTTCAACTGTGAACTAAACAGGTGATGAAGCTCTAGAAAAACCATTGAAGATGACAGTGGACCTCAACAATATAACTTTCCATTTCCCACAGAATGCAAATCTTCCAAAGTTCAATGCATTCAAGCCACCACACACAAATATTCTCAATAAAACCCATTGTCATCCAATCCTCCCTCAACCTACACTCCCTTCTATCCCTATAACTTTGCCATCACCTATACTAAGACTTGCCCCTGCTGATTCCCTTCTCACAAAGCCCTCATCAGCACAGTCACTTCCCCAGAAACCCCTCCAGTTCCCTCTGCCTCCTAAACCCCAGTCATCATCCGTGCCAGTATTGCAAGCACTGTCAATATCCCTCAATAAATAGGAACTGTAGGTTCTGGAAATACTTCTTGGCTCCAATTTTGATCAGGCATTCACGGAGGTTGCCATGCTTGATCTCATAGCTGTTGACCCTTCAATGTGTGAAGGTGATGAGGTCCAGCACCCGCATGAGGCAGGCAGAGCTACATCAGAACATGCCAGTAGGTCATATGCTCTTTGCTTCTGTCAGATACACAGCCCACAACTGACACACTTCTGTTACCTGAAGTTCCTGATGCCCCACACTGGGAAGAGGCCGGTGGTGGTGAATCGATAGCCGCGGACATCAGTTGCTCAGGGTTAGTGTCGGGTGATACAAGACAGGGGGATGTTCCAGGTATAATAGAACAGCGCCACCTCTGTTGCTAGTACTCTGCATCAATGACCCAGTCACCGTTAGCTCAGCCAATCACAATCAATTCAGACATAGAGGATGGTGGATGTTGTCAATCAAAAATACAAGTGACCTTGGAGACTAGATTTGGTGGAAAAATACCTTGTCCAAATTCCTCTACCCAGCCAACCGGTTGAGATAGCAACACTAGGTCTCAATCCCCGCGGCGGGAGCGCGTGCCCATGATAAAAATGGAGGAGAGCGAGGAGGAGCAGCAGCCATCACAGCCAGAACATACACAGCATCGCATGGTGGCAGTGGAGATACCCACGGCCCTTTCCTCATCTCCTCTTGCTTTCAATCGCCATTTATGCACCGGCCATGATGAAGAGGCCAACAAACAGCCTATGGCCAGCATCAGGGACAAGCTCAATCAGGACAGAAATGAATATAGACAACAATGATATTGAGAATGATGATGAAGGAGATGAGGATTATATTGCCAGTGAAGGTGAGAGTGAAGCAGGTGATAGAGCACTGAAATAGCGGCGAAGTATCTCTGCATGTCTGGCAGAAAATTCAAAATAGTGTCATTCCAAAAGCCGGGCAAAGAGCCCCGATAGTTCTCAAAGTACCAAAGGCTGCACTCCTCCTCCTGCGAACCAGAATAATAGACATGGCTCAGCTGAATTACTTACTGGTACCGGCCGGTCTGGTCTCCCCATGAATGATATATTGATGCTTGCTTCTGATATTGCCTCAGCTATGGTTGAGCAGCTTACAGGTTATTCTGTGACAAGTGGGAAAGTTGCTGTCTACAATAAAAAAGATCATCCAGGGGCCGGTTGTTCAATCAAGGGATACAAAGAAAGACTGAGGGATGGAGGAAGTAGACTGGCGATGGTCCGAGGAGGAGGATGAGCAGCTTCTGGCCATGGTCAAAGAAAATTGTTCCTGGTCAAAGATAGAGGAATGATTCCTGCAGAGGAGAGCGCCATCTCTCTGTCAACAAGTATCAGTACTTTGAAAGGGCAAGAAGTGTAAGCGTAGAGCCTGAAGATCTATAGTTCATAAGCATTAATTAACACTTCAACTGCATCATGGCGCCCCAATAGATCGTCTTGTTGGTAACCTTCAAAGCATTGCTTTTATTTGATGTGTAAACATTCGATTGACTAGGAAGACGATAGATGCTATTCTAGCCGCCTTTTCTATCTTCCTCTCCTTTTTCTTCAAAGTCTAGCGACCATGATTCCTGATGCATAAGTTTCATATCTCGTCTCGTGCTCGTACATTTGACAGTCGAGGTCATTGAAATCTCGATGTCGCTGACGTACGAACCTCCTAAAAAGTCCGCGGATTGAACCACAGAAAATTCACGGATCCTGGATGTTACACAAATGTACCGTTTAAAGTCTGCAAACTGGGCTGACGGTGACACTAATTCTCCGACAGGCTGAGTTGGTTGCTGTCCACATACTCTGCATTGCATGAAGAAGAAGTGACCGGACGGACTGGCGCATCTCAGATGCTTCAAAATTGTCCAGGGCTGCGGCATCCTGCAACGGCTCAAAACTGAAAATAATGTTCAATCTTTCTTCAGCTGGCTCAGTTGAAATGTATTGGTGAGAACTGAGATATTCAATCATCATATAGTGCAGGCTGGAGAGAAATTAAATACTAGATGAAGAAGTGCTTCACTTCACTGAGGTATTGTGATGCACTGATGTGAACAGAGCCAGTTTATGAAAGCACTAGCTATAGAACAGAAGACTTGCTGATTGTTGTAGAGATTAAAGAAATGGACATACACTTCTTATATGTGAAGTGATATATGTTGTCCTTCATCATTGTAATCTCATATGAGGTTGTTCAATCATGAGGTATCATGATATCTAGATCTCTAAATCATTTTTGTTCTTTCACAGCATATTATTGCCAAGTTTGAATATCTATCTCAAAAAAGAGGTAATATTTAAATTTTCAGTAACAACCTAAACTCTGCCTCAGCACACAGATCAACATGGTTAGAACTGTCATTCCTGCTCTGTAGGCAATATTGGTATTTTTGTGATTCTGAACTTACCCCCCTCTTCTCTTGGCAGATACTTTTAATTAAAAAAACATCTCATTTAAGAGGAAAATTTGCCATGTAATAGGTAGTTCAATTCTCATAAAACCTGCCTGATAAAGAACCAGAAGCTGACCTAAAGTCTTGGAAGATTCAACGAGCAATATCAGCTCTCAAGACATTGCCTACAGTTTAATCTATCAAAACTTTTAGATACTGCTGTTGCTATTGCTGGTGATGGAGCTCGGTACTGTTGGTTTGATTTCAGATCCTACCTAACCCCAACATGATTATCGGCAGATTGGATGCTAAAGTATCACACAGGTGCCAAGGTGTTGAAATGCTCAGAAGGTCTACACAACAAAGCATTCATTCTGACGATGGATAATGGAGTGGAGTTGTTGGCTAAACTTCCAAATCCAAATGCAGGACCTGCTCATTATACCACTGCATCTGAGGTTGCGACATGCCATTTTGTAGGTTGAAATTATCTCCTGTTGTCATTGCATTTAAATGAACAATGTATAGCTGCGAGAAATATTTAATATACCAGTGCCTCGGATTCTTGCTTGGTCCTCCGATGCGTCAAATCCTGTTGGCGCAGAATATATCATTGAAGAAAAGGCCTCTGGTGTCCGACTTGGTAGCCTTTGGAATCATTGGTCGCGGGGCCCAAAGCTCAAGATAATTACTCAAATTGCGCAAATAGAGGATGTGTTGACTTCCATTAGTTTTCCGAAGCATGGATGCATCTACTTTAAAGAGGACTTACTCGCGTTGACTGGAGTTGCGCCAGATCTGTCTGTTAACTCGTCTGCTGCTCCTGAGATACTCTAACGGTTCTCCTTGGGCCCACTCTCATCGCCGGAGCTTTGGAATAGTGGCCGAGCATCAATGAAATTGGATTGCGGTCCCTGTGAGTATCCTTCCGTTTCCAACCTCCGCAGGGTTTTTCCTATTTGCGGTACTGATACCAATCCTATAAGTCGAAACCCCCTTGAATATTCTCAGGCGATGGGGTTGAATGAAATTACATGGATCAAATCGCATGCTCTTCGCTTCGGCTACTTACTCAATACATAAATGTGACTCCCTATCTAGTTCCGCTAGATAACAGCGAAGGAAGCCCTTCTGTCCTCTGGCATCCCGACCTACATCTCAACAATGTGTTTGTAGATCCTGAATCTCATGAAATCACTTACATAGTGGATTGGCAATCGGCAGCTGTTGTCCCTCTGTTCTTTCAATGGTGGTGTACCGACAATGTTCCGTCATTCCAAGCCGGTTAGAGATGATTGGGTTGTTCCAGAAAGGCCCGCCAACTTCGAAAGTCTAGATGAAGATGAGGAAGAGACAGATTGACGAAGACCTAGAAAGCGAAACTCTTCATAAGTATTATGAAGTTCAAAACATATCAAAAAGCACCTCGTCGCTGGGCTGCACTCCAACAACAAAAGGCCACACCCCCTTCCTTCGAAAGCCAGTCTGGCTAGTAACCGGCGTCTGGGAAAATCGCGACCTTTTCTTTCTCCGTCAATCACTACTATCTTTAATGGCACATTGGGAGGAATTTAGGAATGGTGTTCCTTGTCCATTAAGCTTTTCAGAGGAGGGGTTGAAGCTTCACGCAAAGGAAGAAGAAAACATGGATGGTATCGGGCAATTACTCAAAATTTCTCAGGATCAGGGGGTGTTACCGGTGGATGATGGAATGGTTGAACATGAAGACTATGAAACGGCAAAGGAGAATAGAATAGTCGGAAATTCAAGGATGTACGTAGTATTTCTTGGCTTGGCGGAAGATGAAGAACGAGGAGGAAATTATTCTCTAACCTTTGGCCATATCATATCAAGTTCCCGAATGAGGCTGATTTCTCTATGTGTGTGGGAGAACTTTTCTAGGGCAATGCAACCCTGTAAGTTAGAAGTGAGGCTGGCTCCTCATCAAAGCCACCTTGGTGCTGAATTCAAGCATTGGTTTATGGGGACAAGTTATAATGGCCCGAACGTAGTTAACTATTTAATCTGAATCACTCACCCAACAACCTATATTGAATAAATCTTCCAATTTAGCGATCATATGGAATTACACATAGAAAATTATATACATTATTCCTTAGGTCTTTTGACATTTTCTAATAGTATATCCAGCCATATTACACTTGCTATATAGCAATCTTGGTACAAGGTGTAATCTGAGAATGAGCCTTGCGTATATAGGATAGACAACCAGAGCAATATGATAATATGTATATTGGGTAAATGAATGTACTAATTGGTTTGTAAGGTACTACTGAATAAGATATAACATGTATTGATCGTGAAGTACGAAACTTCTCAATCAAAGGTGTGAATGAGCGCCCTTATATAGACATATGAAAAGGTCCCCCCCCCATCCGTTCTTGGAGTAGAAGGTCTCTGACGGAAATGCAGAGAGCTCTGGGGGAGAGGAGGAAATGGATATTATCAAGGCCACAGGCTCAGCAGCCCTAAATAACGTAGGGAAGCAATAATATGGATCAAATGGTCGTCGTCTAGTTATCTGATCAAGGAGCACCAGATCTTCCAGATTGAGGGTGAGGCCGCTTTTACGGCCGTCTTCGAGGAGCGGCCTTGAGCTTGTTCAATGCTTGAAATGTCACAGCTTGGATGGTCACATCTCGCTCCAGCTGATACAATAATATTAACATGGATTCCGGGGGCTCCACAGTAACCGGTAAGTTAAGTAGTTAAGTTAGTGAGTTAAGTATATTTTATTTAAATCAAATGGTCGTCCCCGTGCCTTGAACCTCTCCTTGCCACTTGCGTTGGATGTCCAGATATCCGACTATTTACTTCGGCAACACGATGTGTATGCTGTCTCAAGTGCCTTGATGGCTCCTTGTCAATAAGCTTGCCTTCAGCATCTTACTTAGATCATCCTTCAGCTCAACAATCATTCTATTCACACTTTCTAAATGCCAAGTACAGTATTCACATCAACCGCCTCTGCCATTTACCCTCCAGTGAGCAAAAATAAATAAATAATAGCAACAGTAATAATAATATGTTCCATGCCCAAATTTGTTTTCGCGGCAAACCCAGCACCAAATCGAGATCTAGTCGGTCATCACATCAACCAACACAACCAAACCACCTAACCCAGCCCAGGCCCTCTTCCTACAGAAAACCGAACTCGGTCTCGCGTTTTGCCTATTATTATGTACTCCGTACTCCGTACTCCGGAACGAGTTACTCCGTATTTCGCCCCTGAATCCACCACCCTTTGAATTAAAAAAAAAAAAAAAAAAAAAAAAAAAAAAAAAAAAAAAAGACCCCAGACCCCGTTTTGAATCCTCCCTTGTTTGTGTTGGGGGTCCCGGGGGTTGATCGGCCCTTCTACCAGCAGCGCTGGTGGTGACTGAGCTCTTTTGCCCCAGTAGCCTACAGTTTGTTGGTTAGTTCCGCTCCCTGCCAAGTTGTCATTAATATTATTAATAATTCGACAATTCCATGAAAGGGGAGTAGCCTGACCGAGGGAAAGGAGGGTTGTGAGGGAGAGAAGAGCTCGGTTTCGGAGGAAAAATTTTTAGCCTCCACTTTCCGCGGACCACTTTGCTCGTTCTGTACAGGGCAGGGTAGGGTGGGTGATGAGGGCTTTTTTTTTTTTTGAACGAACTTCTTCACGATTGAGGGATGTGAGCAGATTTCTTAGGCAGGTCCAGGCTTTTTTCCCTCCCTTTTTTTTACCCATCCATCCATGCGGCTCTTGGAATTCTGTGCTCTCGTTCCGGATCTCCGTGGAATCAATAAAAGATAGAAAATGAGGACAAAAACAACTCTCCAAATTTCAAATATAGTAGTTATAATGCACTCATTAACTAACTCATAACGAGACGAGAAATCAGACCCAAATTTTCCAGGGTACATACAGTACAGTACAGTACCAAAGAAAAGAACAATAATAACGCAAGAGGATACAATGTTGCTTCCAACAAAAAATTACCAAAAGAGGGGTAGTTAAGGCCGCATCAGGGCATGCAGCCCTGCCCTTACCGACCCTCCAGGCCCGTGAACCCCTGCGGACCCAGACCATCCTGCCCGCCTGTGCGGAAATATTCAGCAACTACCCCGAGAGCATAGCAAGTGCCCGCAGCTACGCCGCCTGTCAGCAAAACACGGCGCATGGCTTTGCGCAGGAATGGACGGCGCTTTTCAATTTTTGGTGGAGGGGGTTGAGCGGAAGAATGTTGCTGTTGCTGCTGTTGCTGTTGCTTTGTGTCTTCAGAATCATATCTCGGTTGATTTGCTTCATCAGAAACGCGTCGTGTGGACGCTTCTTTACCAACCGGGGTGGTAGATATGCTAACCGGGGCCGCTACCATCCCAGACTCAAATTGATCGATAGCTTCCTTTTCAAGTTGTGCTGCCCACGCTGGAGAGTGCAGCATAGCATCCCCGTCAGCATACGTAGCATTAGCACCACTATCGCCTTTCTTCAATTCGGTGGCATCCGGAATCGCTGTCTTAAAATTACCAGGCACATCTTCACCCCCACCCTCAAACTTCCACCCTCCCACCCTCTTGAAAATGAGAATATCGCCGCCACCGGAAACAATTTCATATCCCTGTGCTTCTAGACGCGGGAAATGGTCAAGGAACCGCGAAGGGTTATTCAGGCGCGAAAGCGCTTCTGTGGGGTGAAGCTGTTGCGCTATCTCCCCTGAGCCTGTATGGCCAGATGAAATGCCTACGTCCTTCACTTCCATTGTTAGGGAGTCGTACGCTAGGACTCTGTATTGAGATTGGTTGGAGCGTGAAGATCGCGAGACATTCTGGCCTAGACGTGCGTTTTTCACACCTTCCTCCCTAATTGATTTTATTTCACCAAGTTCTGTTAAGAGACAGGCGATGGAGATGTTGATGTTTTTGACATCACTCAGAGTCTCACCAATGTTGGCTATCTGCTTCTCGTACTCTTCTATCGCATTCACCATCTCCGATGAGGTGGCGGCATTATTGTTCTGGGAACTAGTGTCAACCATTGCCTCCAATGGACGATGATACTCTGTCAAAAGTGCCTTCATCGAATTTGTAGCCTCTTTGATTTCTCGAAGCTCTCTTGCAACACTAGCAATTTCACTGTGACGGTTCGCGTCGGTAGTTTTTATCCCAAAGACAGGGTGGATCTCATCTTGTCTGGAGCCGCCAACAGCGGTAGATGTATCACCAACGCTGCCTATGTTACGCATATCAGTAACTTGGCTGCGCTCTGTCCCTCTAGTACTATCGTCGTAAACTAGCGAGTTGACTGCTTGCAGTATTGGGTCTGCTGCTAGCCTTGCACTGGGAACAGAATCTTGCACTGTTTCATCATTGCGAGTACCCCTATTATTGTCCGGGCGAAGTTTCCAGCGCAACTCGTCAACATCCAGGCCACAATCAGCGCCTTGAAGGGCCTCATAAGCGTTTTCGGCATCATTTTGGCGCTCCGCCCGAGTTACATAAGAGGCGCGGATGTCACTCGCACGCAGTTGATTCACGTCTTCTTTCGTTCCGCTGCCCTCACTGACATCGTACGCTTTTTGGTAAATCTCACAGACCGGTGATGCGCTTGGGGCCTCAAGAGCCTCGATATGCCGTAAAAATTCTGAATGAGACATCCCCTCCAATTCCTTTGGAAGGCGCCCAGTATTTTCAACAGACCTCTTCCATCTAGGGATGAAGCGTTGGTATGATTCCCAGTCAGTGGCTAGGGACGCTTTACCCTCCTCACCAAGTCTGGCAGAACTGGGCTTCGATGCTTGATTCCTTTCGTCAAGCGTAGCTGTGTTGTTGGATGTAGCTACATTCGTATCAGCTGGCTTCTCTGCCCCGCTCAGGGCTCTCGCATCTGGTTTGAGGGCATCCTTTGCATCGTCACCGAGGGCTGCTTGTCCCGCGTCGGGTCGACAGGGCTCAACAACTGACCCTTCTGTGTCAAACTTTTCGCCTACATCGGTCTGACGTGTCTCAGTTGTAGCATTTTCGGTAGCACTTATTTCACTGGATTCAGACTGCTTGGCTTTGACGGAGCCGGGCTCCTCGAAATTGATGTTTTGGGATGGTTTGGAATGAGCTTGATCGCTTGTACCATTGGGAGGGATTGCCTCCCCGGAGGCGCGCAGCTCAGGTTCAATGGGGACTAACTCTTCTGTGTTGATGCTTGGTGTCAGTTTGGAATAGGATTGCTCGTGGCAAGGTTCTACTTCCGCCTCGCCATCTCGCGGGTTTGAAAGGATTATTGGAGAAGAATCATCAGTCTCGCTGTCAGTCGTTTTGGTCCTTGTAGGAACCATCCTGCCACTGATGGGATCAAATTCAAATGCAGCTTCTGTCATAAGGTTGGACGATCGCGAGTGATCCTCGTTGACCTTCATCTCAGGCGACGTCGTAGGAGCTGGTTCTGTTCCTCCATTTGTCGGAGCCTCTCGAGTGTCCTCTGAGGAGCTTGGACGTTGACTGTGGCTTGTAGGCCTCTCACCGGCAAACAATGACGTATAAAACGATGACCAAAATCCCTCTTTCAAACCAAATGGAAACGGCTGCAACCGCCTCCCAAATATGAATCCATAAGGATCGTGATTGATAGCTTTTTGAAATTCCTTAAAACGCTGCTCAGACTCTCGTCGCATAGACTCTCCAAATTCGCTCTCTTTGCTCTCCCAAGAGTCGAAACCGTTTTTCTCTCCAAGGTCCTCGAATCCGTTCTTAGCTCCACCCTCATTCGCCACCCAAGGTTTCCCCCACTCATTCCCTTTCTTCATACCTTGCCCGAGATCGTCGTATACATCACACCGTCTGTGAAAACGGCTAGCTTGCTTGGGGTCATGGGACTTGGTGCTTCTCCAGCTCTGATATATGTATGGTCGTCGCCGCCCAACATGTCTGATGTATTTGTTGTAGAACGACTGCATTTCCCTTTCTTTCTCCATCAGCCTCCGCAACCTGGATTTCCCTTGTGATAACCATTCTGGGTCGTGATGGTGAGACCACCAGAATAGCGATCTCTGCTGGCGTGAGTGGAGATAGGCTGGAGAGCGGAAGGTTTCGGATGTTAAGGAAATGGCCGGAGCCAGTAGCTGCGGATAGGAGCGTGGGGATACAGACGATATTGGATGCCGGAGAGCACGACGACTCGAGAAAAGAGCTGATGAAGCCATGTTATATTTGTAAGGTAACTTAGTCTGTTGTTTGCTCGAAGCACCAATCAGTCAGTCAAACTAGATGGCTGCGATTCCCACCAGAGAATTGGCATAGACCATGTCACATTCTTGCCAAACAATAGATGGCTGACCTGTCTCCTCTGTCGTCAACAAGTGATATGATATCACAACTAGGGAGTTGGGGAATCTGGACACGGAGGGGAAAGATGAAGTCGAATGGCGGAACGCGAGGAGAGCTTCCCGGGGATGACATCATCAGGCCCCAACCCCGCTCAGGCAAGGCAAACTCTATAGTTATATATAAAAGAGAAGATCTGAGAGCAAAAGCCTTCAAACTCAACATTTCACATTTTACCTAAACTTAGTTAACTAGTAGTTCAGCTGTATATGGCAACCTTGTGCTTTGTGAATATTTGCACAGGTCAGGAGATTT